TCTCGACTACCTGCGCCGGCCCGATCTGCAACATCCTAATATTGTCGAAATGGAATCCTTCTTCGAGGATGAGATCAATTACTACATCGAGATGGTGCCTCATGGATTACCGGGCATGGATCTATTCGATTATATTGAGCTCCGCAGCAACATGGAGGAGGCTGAGTGCCGCAGTATTTTCGTCCAGGTTGCCAAGGCTATTGGCCATCTGCACACCAAGGCACTGGTGGTCCATAGAGACATCAAGGACGAGAATGTGGTCTTGGACGGCGAGGGTAACATCAAGTTGATTGACTTTGGAAGCGCAGCGTACATCAAGAACGGCCCCTTTGACGTATTTGTCGGCACTATTGGTAAGTCTTATAGCTTCCCCTATATCGTGATTGAAACTGACTGGTCAGATTACGCTGCTCCCGAGGTACTCGCTGGCAAGCCATACGGTGGCAAGGAGCAAGATGTTTGGGCGCTCGGAATTTTGCTCTACACGATCATCTATAAGGAGAACCCGTTCTACAGCATTGACGAAATCATGGACCGAGACCTTCGAGTCCCGTGGACGATGAGCGACGAAAGCATTGACCTGGTGCGGTGCATGCTCAACCGGGATGTGGCTGCGAGATATGACATTAACCAGGTTCTCGCGCACCCTTGGTGCCAGGAGGTTGACGAGGAGTGAAGGAAGCAAACGAATTGATGATGGGGGGAAGAGACATGAGGGACTGGTGGAAAGGGGCCGGCCGTACGCTACGGCCATGGAGTAAAATTTGGTCAAGATACCCTAAAGAGCAATCTTGAACAGCACGGCTTTTCGTTCTGAGGCGGAGCCGGATGTGCTTAGAGAGAGCCATTTGACGCAACAAGACGAAATTTTCTTTTTACCCTTTTTTTTTCTCTGGTTATTGTTTTTCGATCCGGGTCCATGTGACTGACGACTCTGAGGGTAAAGTTGAAACGACGACAACCGACCCCACCTTTGGTCATGGGTCTGCATGGAGCTCCCGGTGTGGTCTGGGGACAAATTTCAGCGCAAAGAACAGAGAGCTTATAGAAAGATACTACCTATGGCTTGGGGGCCTGAACTGGGGAAATGGAGAGAATGGCGTTATGAATAGGAAATACAAAGTATGCTTTTTTTGTTCATGATACGGAAACCTTGTGGATGTCGACGTGTTGGTAGTGGTCGAGTGGATAATGTGTATGTATCAGTCAGGCCTATAATTATGGTTTAATTTTGCTCCCTTTCTTGATCGCCTTTGATTATGGTGGTGGCAATCAAATCCCATGGTGCCGGTATGTGTGTCACTTGCCAGAATCGGGCAGATGTAGCCTGTGTATGTATCCGTAGTGCAATTTGTGAAGCTGCATCCGAATCCCTCTTCATAGGGCCCAGTTGAGACTTCGCGCGTTCCCTATATATATATACTCCTGACTGTTGAGGATGTCCTACGGTGGTTCAAGCGGAACTTTACCCAGTCTGGGATCGGGCCGAGTGAAACTGCAAGAGGTCTGCTGTTGCTCATCCACGTATACCAGGGATGTTCAAGAGAGAGTAGCCTTTGCAAATGAACGGGGAAGGTGAGATTAGTGAATTTACATTTCGGTGTGGTTTTTAGCATCGATGATTAACTACGGTGTATTCACATGTGAATATCATCTGACGGGCGGAGAGGAAGGAGGGCCGGAGGTTGGGTCTCAGGCAGACTGCGGAGGGGGTTTGGTGTCGGTACATAGAATCTGGGCGGTGTTCGAAATGATGATGAATAAGGCACTAGGGAACTGTTGAAACAGACAGCAGAACCTTTGACGCTGCTCTACATCATTTGTTAGTTGGTGAGGTTCTGTATGAATGAGCCTGGGATTCGATTTTATATAGCAATCTCTGGGATGTCATGTGGATTGTGATTATCTTCCAGGCTCACCGATACTGTAGATAGAAGCCCGTAGCTGAGATAGGAAACGCCGAGATTCTATGATGCCTTGGCCACGAGAACACCTCCGATGGGATTTGGGCATTAGAAGCGAGCCAAAAATTGTTATGATGAGTTGACCCGTGGGGTCTTGGTTGGTACTTACTCACCTGGCGAGCACTTCGGAGGTCGGCAGTATGCGAAAGCGAGATGCAGGGGTGTGGGAGAGCTTGGTTTCGATCCTAATTTCGTTCCGACGTTCGTTCTTCTATGAAGTTCTGAGAGATGACAATATGGTGCTTGGGATGGGGGGGGGGGGGGGGTGGGGGGGGGGGGAGGGGGGGGGGGGGGGGGGGGGGGGGGTGTTGGTTCTTGTTTTTTTGTTCGGTTTTTTTTTTTTTTGTGGTGTGGGGGGGGTGGAGGGGGGGTGGTGGGGGGGGGGGGGGGGGGGGGCTGGTCAGAGGGAGCTTTTGGATCTTGTGTTCTGAGAACCTGGTCGTGGGAGAGTCGTGTGAGAGCCATGGTCAACCGCTGTCCGAAAAGCCTAGCTCTAAGAGTCACATTTTCAAGGTTTTATTCACCATTGGCACTTTTCAAACGTTAGATTAGGCACGGAGATTTAGTGAGTCTTGCATGGCTGAGAATCAGCCTCGAATTGAGGTCAGATCGCACTCACAGCTACCAGAAGCTGACGGAAGTCTTGTGGAGCATCGTTGAAAACGAGGTCAAATATCAAACAGTGGCAGGATTCCGTGAGATTTTCAAGCATCTTGTGGTATAATATCGGTCCTCAAACCCTCAAATCTTTCCGCTCTTCATCCTCAGACAGACAAGACTTTTAACCACCATAGTAGCCACCACCAATGGGCCTTCCAATATATCCGCCTCCAACTCTACCACCACCATTACCTCCACAAGCTCGCCTTCCGAACCCGTTATGCTCCATGTCTCTAGTCTCAAACTTGGCCTCGTCAACCTCGAAAGGGAACCTGGCATTTTGTCTCTCGATCGGGTCGGCGCTGTCATACAGATCCGTCTTGAGAGGGTCGACGGCACTGCCGACGGGGATGGAGTCCTCTTCGCTGAAGAACATGAAGAAGGTGTCTGCGGGCTTGGTGCCGTCGCAGTTGGCGTCCGCCACGACGACGTTGTTTTGGTCGGCGCAGTAGGTTTTGGCACCCTCGGTGACGCGGGCGACGAGGATGGCGGCGGCCAGGGACTTTAGGCCCGGTAGGGCCACGTGTTGCCGCTTCATTGCGAAAAGAATGTAGTTGCTGTGTGTGTCTCTCTCTTTGAGATGTAATGAATGTGAGAGAGTTGGCCTTTTAAAAGAGAGTCGTGAGCTGGAGGGAGGTCTTGCTGGCTCAGCTGGGGAAGGAAGACATCGGGGTTATAGATGTGGATGCTGAGCGCTTCAGCCTGTCACTTATAATGCTGATCCTCACTTGTAAAAGATACGAGCCGCTCGCAACTCGAAGAGTTGAAGTTCATAATACAACAAGCTTTAGTAAAAGTGGCAACCAAGTTTCCAAACTAGACACAGGGCTGTAATACTCGCTTCATCATGGGAGCCTATACTTAAAATCATCAATTAGACACACCGGGGGAAATTTGACTACGGAGCCTCCGAGTGCGGTTTCATCGGCCTCATCGGCCTTAATGATCAGTCTCGACTTCCGTCGGACACTTCGGCAGCCGGTGGGTTGGTTGTTGAGGCTGACAAGTGACCTCGTAATTAGCGTGGTAAGTTTGACGGTTTCCCACGTATTCGCGCGAACAAGCCAACCGGTATGCTGTTCTCTAATGAGGTTGGGCAGTGGAAACGTGAGCACGGTTTCTTTCACACTTTTGAGTTGAGCGTGAATAAGGTAAATTCGGCGCGCAACCGATCAATTAAGCTTTTAGCTACGCCTCTGCTCCAACCACTTACACGACTCAGGCAAGGGGGGATCGTCATTTCCGAATATACGACGAACGACTCAAGGAAGGATTTGTATTTGAGTTGATTTCTAGGGAACCCATTCAAGGGTAATTGTGGTAACTCAAGACCTACAACTCTAATTCAAGAGTCGACTATTCGTCTTAATCATGGGATGAACACCAATCGTGCCAATCTCGTTCACGCACATATATACTTGTCGACGAGCGCAACTGCTCTCGTTTGACGGATGTCCCCTCTACGTTGATCCCCACCTAGTCTTGAAAACCGTTCAAGTCCAAGGCCTACCATAAAGCAGACCCAACTTCACAGTCAGTTCCCGCCTACCCTTCTACGCAAGAACACATGAGAAGAAAAGAAAAAGCAACACCATCCCAAAAAAAAAAACCCCCCAATAACTAACACGTGAATCACCCAACACAGATGCGTCTCGCCTCACTCCTCTCCGCCACAGCAGCGGCCATGGCCGTCTCCGTCCAAGCAGGAGGACAATGCGCCGACAGGACGGCCAGCGGAGACGCCATCACGGGGTTCCGCTTCTCGCCCGGCTGCAACACCTGGCAGTGGTACTCCCGCGACAAGGGCACGACCATCACGCTCAACCCGGACTGCCAGCTGCGGCAGGCGTGGCCGAACCCGACGGCCGTCGGGTACGTGTGCATCCGGAACAAGTCGGGCGGCAACAAGTGCTTCGCGGCGCCGACGGCCGCCGATCAGAACTTTTGCGGGATCCCGGCGGACTGGTGTAACAATATCGAGAACATGTGGGGGTGGGCGTAGTTGTTCTGGGAGAGAGAATAAAATTTCCGTGGATTATGTTGCTTGGTGCCTTTTATGTTGTCACCTTCTTGACTACCTTGTGATACTTTTCATGTTCTTAGCATAGCGTCACACTGATAATAAAGATCACTTGGTCTCCAACGATCCGTAAACCCCAGTCTATATTTTCCTGTTTCTCCTGCGAGACGCAATCATAAATGATTTTTGGTAGCACGTGCGGTAGCCGTATGAACAGCCAGACCTCTAAAGCGCTTTTTTTCCATCCCCTCTCATATCAACCTAAAGCGAGTGAACCCCCAACTCAGAGCCGACTTGATTGCCAGCCATGGTCACCGTCCGAGAAAACATGCTACACTGACACAGCCCACCTCAACTTAGACGTTGAGCTCGGCAGCGCCAGTGTTCTTGATGTACTCGGCGTAGGGCTTGATCTGCTCCTGGACAGGACCGCCCTCGCCGCAGTAGCGCTGGACCATGGTCGCGGAACGACCGGTGAACAGGTTGGGGTCCAGGAGCTGGTCGATGGAGTCCCAGACGGGCTTGAAGTACTCGGTGGCCTTGATGCGCTCGATGAGGTCGTTCTTGCCGCCCTGCTTCTTGACGACGTCGGCGGCCTGGTGGGACAGAACGCGGATCTCCTCGTGGGCCTCCTGGCGCGAGCCGCCCTTGGCGACGATCTTCATGATGATGTTCTCGGTTGCCTTTTGTCGCCATGGTTAGTAGCCGATCTGTGCGCGACTAACATACTTTCCAGGGGATGTTTTGGGGCTTACCATGAAGGGGAGCTCTTCCATCACGTGGGCGCGGATGACCTCAGGGTAGATGACCTGTGAACTGTAAGTGATTTACTCCATAGTGATTGGGGTAGGCAAGCGTGGTGTTTTCCAGTCTGAAGGCGTGGAGAAGAAAGACTTACCAGGCCGGACGTGACGTTGTCGAGTCCGAGAAGGATGGCATCTAGGCATGTTAGCACAACTTCTTCAGCAGAGCGGTGGCTGTGGCGTCTAGAGCCGCTCAAAACTTACCGGCCAAGAGGAACATCTACTACTGATTAGCGCCGCGTCTCCATACTTCCAGCGGGGTCAACTTACCTCGGGGATATCTATTCTCCGAATAGCAGAGTCGTCGAGCGTGCGCTCAACTGGCCAGGTGTTAGCACGTTAAAAAATCACTTGGGGGCCCGGGGGTGTTGAGTGACTTACACCACTGGTCCGCGTACGTATCCGCGAAGTTGGCCGGCAAAGAGCGCAGCTAGGTGGTGTCAGCATCAATACTCTTCCACGCTGTGTAGTCGACTAACCTTGCGTCCGAGAGAGCAGATGCGCTCGCTGCGCATGGGGTTTCTAGTAGTGGTGTCAGCTCGTTGAAATGTGTCTTGGTCGCTGGTTAAGGCCGCCTGTGCGAGCATCCAGTGTGAAGACGTGTGCCATCTGTTGAGCCCCTATAAGGACGAAATAGGGGGAAGAGAAAACGCGGGATGTTTCTACCTCTTGTACGCCCTGTGGTGAAGTCAGCATATCATTTCTTAAGCCAGTTAGGAATTAAACATACATTGCCGAAGAACCGATTTGGTCCTTCTCTGGAGACATTGTCAGCTCGATATTCAAACAAAAGCCGCATCCCCCTTTTTGGACTCTCGACTTAAATGTTCCTTGAGTATGCAGGGCTTCAGGGGTAGGAGAGCCTATCAGTCACTCACCAAAAGGCTCTTCCATCTCCTTGGAGTGGGCGAGGTGACGGATGTCATTGGTGATGTGCATGGCAGTCGCGCCCAGGCCGCAAATAGCGTTGCTGACGTCGAGATCGGTCTTGCGGGTGTATGTCTGGGTTGAGATGTCGTAAGTCTTAGGGAAGCCAGCCTTCTCACAGAGAAGGTCGTTGAGCTTGTCGATCTTGGCACCGTCACCCTGGAAGATCTCCATGAAGGAAGCTTGGGTTCCGGTGGTGCCCATCGCACCACGGAAGGCCAGACGCTCGCGCGCGGTCTCGATGTTCTTCAAGTCCATGCACAAGTCCTGGATCCATTGTGCGGCGCGGCGTCCCACGGTAATGAGTCTGGACGGAGTTCAGTGTGTGTTACTTGTGCAGGAACAGGGTGGAGGCTCACTGTGCGGCCTGGTAGTGGGTGAATCCCAGAGTTGCGAGCCTGTAGGTTGTGTTAGTCATTATCTTAAGACGGAAGACTTCGCAGACGGATCGTCCAAGGAGTCGTGCCGGTCCAACTGCTCTACAAAGCCTTAACTTACTCCTTGTGCTGAAGAGCGAACTGAGAGAGGTTGTGAATGACCTTGGCCAGCTTGGGCAAGAGAAGGTCCATAGCATTTCTGTTGGGTGTTAGTTCTCGGCCTCTGAAGTCATATTTCTTGCATTACCTCATCAGGATGAGCTCTGCGTTGTCCTGTAGTATACTATGTCAATCCTTGTTCCAAATGAAGTCTCGGAGACTTTTCTATCTGTTCCAAAGTGTCCCAGAATCATGGAAGGCGGCTCCCTTAATGCGAGAGGACTTAAGCCAACTTACAGTGACGAAGCAGCTCGTCGCCCCTATACATAAGATTAGTACAAGGAAGATGACGCGCATCGCGCAATTGACTGGATTCTTACCGAGGTGAATAATGCCAGCGGCGGCGGGCGCAACTTGGCCGAAAGCGTGAACGTCTGCGACCGAATATGTCAATATCTCATCATGATCCGTGTAAGAGCCTACGCCCAAACCACTTACGAGCCATCTGCGAAGAGCCGGTCAACATCATGAGAAGTATTTACCCAAAATTGAACGAATTTACTCACCACGTCATGACGACGTCTCTTCTCCTCAACGGCAGCCACTTTGAAGTCCTCATCGGTCAATGTCAGGTGAGCTCTCATTTGCTCCAAAGCCTCCTCAGAGATTCCGTCGATGCCAAGCTCCTTCTCGCCTATAGCAGCAAGATCAGCAATGAGTTTCACCCGGACACTGCGAGAGAGACTTTTTCACTCACTCTCGGCCAACCATAGCCAAAGCTGTCTCCAGGTGGAGTGACGGTTGCGCTGGGAGAACAGCTTCTTGGCCTCCTCGCTGGCATATCTGCCATCGAGGGGCGTCTTGTATGTGTCAAGTCCGGACATTTTGAGATTTGTGTGTGTGGTAGTTTCTGAGGATATTCACGCCTTACACAATGAAGGAAAAAACTTCGCTATAAAATAGTCACCCTCAGAAAGTAAATGCACGAAAATTGTCCGGCGACTGGCACTGACATGACTTGGACCGATCGCGGGGTACTTTTTAATTGGGCAGGCGGTCGCAGATTTCGCAGTGCCCCGCTGCCCCACACCAGGCCACCGACCCCTGCATTCTGTCGCTGCCCCTCCATCGCAGTTTCTGGGCTCTCTTACCTCATCAGGTACGACGAGCGGTACTTTGGCTTGGCCCAAGCTTCCGCCATCGCCCTGTTCCTCTCCAGCCACCTCCAACCACAACAAGAACTACATCCCAATCCATCGCCAACCTGATCTCTTCTTATCGCGGTGAAGCTTTGGGATCCTCGAAGCCTTGGGATGCCAGTCCCGCTGCTTCTGTTTGATTGTATTTTGCAGGTCTCAGGGGAGCATTGCCTCTTCTCTATAAGATGAGGACGCTCGATGAAGCCCAGTGAGTGCGAGTCGCACCATCCCAGCTGTGACATCATGTTCACCGACTGATCCAACTCATAGGAAACGATGGACCGAGACATTAAAACATGCTGGGAATCTGTCAGACTTGCAAAATGCAGTCAGATATAACGGGCCTTCCAGTCCGTGCATTTCGGGACTCCGATCAATCTGTTGGAAGGTCGGTGTGAACTTGGAAGTTGATTTCATCTCAACTTGGAGCTGACAGCTTCTTAGGCATTCTTGCTGATGCCAGACGTTCCATCATCGGACTGGGTGCCTCAGCTTGCCGAATCGCGAAGTTTCTATTTAGAAAGACGAGATCACTTCTTGAAGTTCATCAAGCACCCCGAGGAGCTGGCCCAAGTCGCCATTGATCCGTTGACGGACGATCCAAAGGTGAGTAGCATGAAGCCAGTGTCTCAGTTACAGATCTTTAACTCACATGTTATCCAGTCACCGTGGAATACTGTTCGACAGGACGAGATAATTAGGGCCGAGATTGCACAAGACGTTCGCCGATTGCCAGATGAGCCATTCTATCAAGAGGAGCAGACGCAGACAATGATTATTGATGCATTGTTCGTGTATTGTAAGCTCCATCCCAATAGTGGTGGGTATCGTCAGGGTATGCATGAACTTCTTGCGCCCATCCTCTTTGTTGTTAACAAGGACGCGCTTGATGCCGCGGCTATCTCGCCCATTGGCACCAATGTCGATACGAAAATGCTAGCCATGCTAGACTCTCTGTACGTTGAGCATGACGCATTTGCCTTATTCTCTAAGATCATGGAAAGGGCAAGGGCGTTCTATGAAGTCCAAGACTCGATCTCAAGGGCAGCGATGTCGTCTGCTTCCAAAGACCGGGTGGAAACATCGGCCATTGTCGAGAAGAGCAAGCACATACATGAGGTTTGTTTGGCCAAGGTCGATCCTGAGCTGGCGAACCATCTCAAAGACATTGAAATTCTGCCACAAATCTTCCTAATGTGAGTTGAACCGTATCCAGCCACGTTGACTTTCGACTTACACATTGCAGCCGTTGGATTCGTCTCCTCTTTGGACGGGAGTTTCCCTTTGATGAAACGCTCGTGCTGTGGGATACCCTCTTCGCGGTCGATCCGTCTCTCAGTCTGATCGATCTAATTTGCGTCGCTATGCTTCTTCGCATCCGCTGGAGTTGTGAGTATTTTTCAGGATAACCCAACGCCACTGATGCTGATCAATGCCAGTGCTCGAGGCGGACTACTCCGTTTGTTTGCAACTGCTTCTCAAGTACCCGGCACCGGAAGCTCCTCACGGGCCGCATACATTTGTGGATGATGCGATGTATCTGAAGACACACCTCAATGTCTCAGGTGGCGTTTCGCTCCTCTTGAAATACACCGGGAAAATGCCCAGTACAACACAATCTGCTAGCAGTTCGAGGCCCACGACACCAATGGGCCAAGCTTTCTCATCCTTCAGAAATCGGACCAAGGGTGGCCAGTCACCAATTCCGTCTGCGAGTAGGTTTATTCAACAGCAAGGTGGTGTGGAAGCACTTTTTCAAGGCGCAGCCAAAAGCGTTTTGGAGCGAGGCGAGAAACTTGGCATCAACCAAGCAGTACGAGACGCCATGGGCGATATCAAGAGAAACATGCAAGGGCTGAACGAAGTACGCTATCCTCCTCGGATGGCAAGGCAACTGCTTGGCGATGACTCGGCAGCCCAGGCCATCGCTGCCATTGAGCAACGGAATAAACTGCTGGCCAACATGTTAGACGAGACAGTGACAAGTCTCAGGTCGTTGGCTACTACTAATCTAGAAGACAAGGTCAAGACGTTGGAGCTTGTCGAGGTAGCGGCTGCCAAGGTGCAATTTGTAAAGGTTTACTTGGAAGACCCGACGATCGAAGTACCAAATCTGGAGGGCTTTACCAGCCCACCGCCGGAGGAGGCGAATACCGAGACCCTGATGGAAATAGACGCGAACGACAGTGCTGTGCTAGGGGCGGCGGTTGCTGCAGAGAGTATGGCAGGCGTCATTTCGACGTTGTCTCTGGATGAGCATGAAAAGACAAAACCCCCGACCTCGAAAACAGCCATTCCCGACGTCATGGACACTACACAAGAGGCACCCGCCGATAAACCAGCAGAACATCCGTCAGCTCTGGTTTCAAGCCCAAAAGCTGACGCCCCTCGCGTGAAGCCATTGGAACGACCTCAACCGCCTATCCCAACACGATCAACTCTCGCCCAGTCTTCCTTCTCTTGGATGCTAGAACCAGACCAGTCTGCCCAGTCCGCCTCACCACCCAAGTTGCCCAAGTCGAGCTCAGGAGGCGCACACCGCAAGAAGCCGTCTGGGAATATCAGCAGGGAGCGCAACGCCTTTCTGTTCGGTGAGGTCGTCGCTGACTCCGAGGATCAGACTATGCCAATCAAGTCTGACGACATATTCGGACTACAGCCCATGGACAAGCCCAAGTCTCCCTTCCCGTGACAATCACGAGTAGAGGTTTAGATGAAGAATTAATGATGATTAGTAGTGCTACAGGAGCCAGCTATACGATAACTACGATGTTATGCTCGCGCAGAGATGCGTCGTTCTCATTAGATCGAGAGAAGTAAGGCCTTTACAATATTGGACTATCGCCAGACTTTCCCAGTGAGAAGACATGCCATTGTTTTGAATTGTGAGACATGATGATATCGACTAGGTATTTGATAGGATAAGTCAGCCTGTTCTGTCGAAGTCAGTGAAAATAGACGTACATTCTCAATATCATCACACTTGAGATTTCTTTCACTTCTAGTGGAATCATACCAACGCAGAACCATCGACGAGGCAGATTGTGGTAACCACTGGGCCCCAAATGATCAAATTTTGATTCTCGTTGTACCTCAATGACTCGGACGGCTGCCTTGGGTAGGTAGGTAACAGTGTGATGGGAAGGAGCGTCCTGAACGATTGGAAATCATGCCTGAACCTTCCTCAACCTCCCGATGATACCGATATATTCTATCCCAACGTCCTTCCTGTCAACAGCACCCATCCGGCCAATTGGCCGGGTGGTTCACACTCTGACGTAGAGAAGTCAAAACAAATACTCCAATGAAGCCGTGCTAGCCTGAGGGGCGCGCTGTTCGATTCCGGGCAGGGGCGTGTATTCGAGAGTCAGTATCTCCCAGCCCACATTCCTTTCCTTTCCTTTCCTTTCCTTTCCTTTCCTTTCCTTTCCTTTCCTTTCCTTTCCTTTCCTTTCCTTTCCTTTCCTTTCCTTTCCTTTTTCTTCTTTGTATTACTTTTAAGTCGTCACGGCTCTCTCTATTAGTCTTTTGGGGTCAGGAAGCGTTGAGGCTTTCGAAAATCTTAAGCCAGCACTAATATGTTTCCAGGTACTCAGCCGTGATTGTAACTTATCGGGCAGTCCCATATACCTCTCAGCGGGTATCAGAAGGAAAAGCCATCCATCATCACGTCTGCGAATACTTTTGCTCATATTCCCTCGAAAGGTCAAAACCTCAATGTTATACATCCATTTATTGTACGCTTACAGAATCAGCTTATCGGGAATACATACTTTGAGATAAGCGTCAAATATATACTTCATCACGATGCGGATAGTCAGATACTCGCCCGGTCTCCAGAGCCTTGTATCAGCAAGGCCCCGACTGACTCCCGGGCTTCCTCCCGTGCGAGTGAAATGTGTGCCAACGGCACTGACGAGGGTGCCGTTTCTACCTCAATTTTGATGGAGACGAAGGATCATAGTGATAACCGAGGAAGGAGCCTGTTGGTTTAGTTACGCCTACCCGGTTGATGTTGGATGGACCACTCCACCCTGGAACTAACCCAGTGTGGATAAATTCTTCACGCCTTTGCAGAACCAACGACGGACCCAATGCCAGGACCAGTCTAGGTGAACCTGTCAATTTCAGCCTCCACTTTGTCACATCGTTCCAACACAGACTCTACTTTTGCCTCGGACGTTTCGCCTCTCGCGGAACGTTATCCTCGCATACCTGGCGAGCCAAGACCACTTCTTCACAAACACTGCATGGACCGACGTCCAACACAAGTCACAAGGTCATCATCTAACCGGCCCACTTTCATCCCAGAACAATGCTCAATGTTCACCATTCCTGTCTCTCCGGTCTTGGCGGTGGGGAGGGGCGTGGTTGTAGACAACGCCGGTTCAACGTCGAAAACACGACTAGGTCAAGCGTCGATGTTTGTTGAAGACACGCACTGTCAGCACCTTTTTTGGGAACATATCGCTTCGATGAAGCTTCCACGCCGAATGAGGATAGCCCTCGCGGAGAGAGAGAGAACGCCAAGGCAAGCAAACCAGCCGCCCGACACTTCGAGTACTGAAGGCTTTGGAGATGGAGTCTTCCGCTCCAACGGCCACCAGCCCAGATCAGCCTCTGACCCCGAAACCGCATGTTGGTCGCAAGATATTAGCTGTAGATACGCAGCCCTGCCGTAGTCGAGAGCAAACATGCAGCGGGTCACCATCTTCACCAACCAATACTCCATTCGCCCCTGCAGGTCCACGAGGCCATACAGAGAGGCAAGAAAGGAGCCAGGATATTGAAATGGGAAAGGAAGGGGGGAACAAGGAGACCGTCGTCAAAGAAAGGGACGCTGCAGATCCGAGTCCGAACGTCCACCGCCTTGGGGCGTCTGACAAACAATAACCGCTGCACCCCTCAGGTGCGACTGGCAAACTTGGAGAATATGCACCACACAGTGAAGAATCCGCCCTTCAACCCGCCGTTGCGTTTCTGTATAGCAATACGCAATTCTCCAAGACAACAATCAAGGGCGTGGAGTTGTCACATGAGGCCAGCAATCAACAGCAATCAATACTCCCTCTAGCTGGCTGAGCACAGCAACGGCAAGCAAACATTGCAGCAAACAAGCAAGATACTTCCCTACACACTCTCTTGCCAACAAGCCTCGCTCGGATACTGGGTGACAGATTAGAACAGTACCTCCATACCCTGTCTTGTCACTTCCTTACAGAGAAATCACCAACATGACGGTCCCAACTGTCTGGTTCACCTCAGTCCCAGGTTGTTTGATAGGGGCAGAGCCGAGGCTAACATCCCATCTACGCCACCATCTCCAACATTCTTCATCACCACCGCCATCTTGCATCGATTCTACTAACAATTTTGTCACCCACGCCACCCCCAGCTTGTCACCATCTGCCAAACTTATTCACGAAGGGCCGACATGACGGTTCGCTGTCCCTGTGTTGGGAAAATTAGCCGCCGCAGAAAGAATGCTTCATCCCTTACGGCCGCTTGGTTTTGCTGCGCCCCTATCTTTGGCCGGAGATCATCATGCGGTCGACCTATACATAGCCTTCAAATGTACATCGGACTTTACGCATCACAGCCTCGTCAACTCACGTCACACTGTCCGCTGTAGCAAACCGGTGACAGCTGCGCATAACATGCGCCATGCCCGTCAGCCCGGTCAGAATCGATACATCTGAGCTCGTAAACACGCGTACGTACATTCGCCCTACCAAAAATGGGCAGAGGATACAAAGCAGGCTGAGATACAGACAGACCGCCCAAACCACCCCCAAGTTCCAAAGATGCGCTTGCGTAAGAGTGATGCCATAGACTACGGACGAACATTTCTAGAATTCTCTACAGGCCAATACTCGCAGCATTCTCTTTACGGTTCGGGAGCACAGCACCAACACTGCAAGCAATGTTGGATGAGGAATTCCAAGCAAGTCCAAATTCCATGTCAATGGGCAATGTTTGTGGGATTCGACAATAGGTGCCCTTGGACACTTCGCCTAATCCCCCTTGGCTCAAGGGCAGTGATCACCCGGTTTCAGACGGGAGAAGGACAATGGTAACAACGGTCCAACGTTCAGAGACTACGAAACCCCCCACAAAGGTGTACAACCCTTTTTCTTTCCGTCCGCCTCGTCTGACCATGAGTGAAATCTCCCTCGAAATCCCCATAAGGCGAACTCCGTCAAGAACAAGATCCGATGGCCCGTTTCCGTTGCCTTGTGCAAACCAAATAATGGGTTTCCAGAGCTCTGGAACGGGATGATGGAAGGGACGCACAAACTGCTCATCCCGGGTTCGGAGGATAACGTTGGATTATTTTTGAACTCGTGGTTTTGATTCGTAGTGATTTCTAAAATCTACTAATCCCTTTATTTCCGTATTCCAGGAAAACCCCCAACCAACCAACCAACCGGCCGACCAACAATGCCTCTATGCGTGGCCCCCAGACGAGCAATCAGGAGCCCCCCCTCGTCTGCCCAACCAACCCATTCCCACCCTCTTTTGACGTTTCATAATCCCATTGTAAAATGCATTGTGGACACAATTCGTATATCGTAATCCCCACGTACCATGTATGAAGAACTAAAAGCAGCATGGAAAAGAAAAGAAATAGGTAGTTCCGAAGTCTTCGCCGACTACCTCAACCCGCAACCGCCCTTGCTTTCCCATTCCCATCTCATCCCACATAACGCACCACAACCAACTGGTATCTTCTTTTTTTTCGCCCCCCCCCCCCCCAGATTGTTAGTTGCGGAAACCAAACACAACCAAAAAAATGCATAATGCTTTCTCTTTCAACTCCTTGTCATCAACGTTTCCCTTTGATCCATTGTTCCCATGTTCCATACTATCTTGATCCATGCGCACCATTCACACCACATGCAACATCCCATTTCATGAGACTATCCCCCAGAAAGAAAACTCCCTCTCTTGCTCTCGGCGTATCCTGCGCTTGTTGCTGTGCCGCCCTCAATGGATAAAAAGAAAAAAACCCTTGCCCAACCCTCCATTTTTGGTACCGTGACCATGATTGCAGGGAAGTTGGGGGAAACCAAGAAGTGAAGGGAATGGAAAAATGAATGAAACTCCCATGTTGCTTTGTTCAACGCCCCTGCCCCATCATCAGACGCAAATCTTCGTCATCGTACACTTCTGGAAAACCAAGTTTTTTTGTGTGTGTCTCTTGCACTTTTGGATAGATGAATGATTACACGCTTCGTGTAGCGTGATGTTTTGTGTATTCCCTTTTTTTTCTTTTGGCAAAGTTGTGAGGGGAGCTGCTTCTTGCAGCTTTTCCTCAAAGTGTGTAGTATATAGGTTCTCATAGGAATGAGAAAATGAAGAGTAAAGAAGTGGATATCATGAGTAGAAGTAAAGTGCAAACTTGGGAGGGAGAGAAAGGTAAAAGGAGAAAATCAAAGACGGCTGTTTTGAATTGCTCGTCTCCTCTTCTTCCGTGCCTCCGCGGCGTCGAGCTGAGCTTGTCTTGCGCGACCTGGTATAGAAATTAGTTTCCATTGCTCTCGTCACCACTTTACAGTAAGGTAAACCTACCAAGCTTGTCGTATTGCCGCTTGTGCTCTTCCGAAACCCACGCGTAGGTGATGGCGCGCTCGGGGTGCATGCCCAGCAGGCCAATCGAGTTGTTCATCTTCTTCCCTTGCTCGCGGACGTCGCACTGGAACGTCTTTGGGTTATCGTCCTCGTCAAAGACGAGCAGGTTGTTGGGATCCGTGGCGGGGATCTGCTTGTTCTTGCGGTAGTAGACGCCCTGCAAGCCTTGAGGCCCACGCTTGTGGCCCTTTGCGGCGTCCTCGGGGAAGACGGAGGCGTACTTGGCCTCGACCTCCTTCCAGGACAGGTGGTGGTCGACGCGGAAGTAGTCGATGAAGTCGACCTGCTGGATCGTGTACTTTACGTTGCAGCGGGACCCCGTGGGCGAGCGGCGGGGTCTCCGGCTGGGGCTGCAGCCGGTCCGTAGAGTCACTGGTAACCTGTGCTGGAGACGGCGGCTGGGTGGCGAGAGGGGGTTGCGGTGTGAGTTGCTGAAGGTGGGCGAGGGGAGGGCGTCAGGGTAGGCCATCGGTGGCATCGGTGGCATCGGGATTCGGTAGGCGGTTGGTGAGGAGAGGTCCATCCTGGGTTCTTGGAAGGAGCCGAGGGATTCGATACTGCTTCGGCGAGGCCCTCCAGTCATAGCGGAAGGCATGAAGCTCGGGCTGGGGACGAACTCGGGCTCGGGGAGCCGCAGATCCAGTTCACGAAGGCGGGGGAGCGTAATCTGTGCCGTGCTATCCTTGGTGAAGGAAAGCTGGCTGTTGACGGAAGGGAGATCTGGTGACCGCGGCTCAGGGGATGAGAACTGAGAGTTTGTTGATCTCGTCATGGCTGGAGGTTGATGTAAGCTTCAAAGCCCATCCTGGATGACACTTGTAGTGAAAAGATTGTCCTACCATCTGACTTGATTGAGGTGAAGCTCTGAGTGGGAGAAGGAAGAGTAGGCGACTTGATGTTGAATGATGCCATGGAGGCCAAAGTGGTTGCCACTTCCACCTCATGACGCTGGCCCGGCTTTGTATCGGTACGAGCGTCCACGTCCATCCTGTCGTCGAAGCTGAATGATGAGAGGCTTGGTAACACCCTTGGTACGTCGTCGGTGCGGCTCTGGTGGTAACTCATAGCTGGCGGAGGCGGCAGTCTGTCCATGCCGTCCTGGTGATCTTGTAACCTGACAAACATGTTGTTTGATGTTGTAGGTAGTAGACGTCGAGGTCCGGAGTGATGATGGTATCCAGATCAAGAGTGTGTAAGCCAGCAAAGAGAAGAAAGGCAGAAATGATGCCTAACACTTGCGGAGATCTTGATCAAGTAACAACAACGTTGAAAAGTGTGAGATCTTTGGGGGCGAAAGGTGTGTGTTGATCGGGAGGAAGAAACAAGACGAGTCATCGACAACGGGTCAGACCCTGATTATCAAGTTCCCGGCCGCGATGGATCTCTGTCTCTGTTATATCTCTTTTTGCTCCGGGACCTCTCTCTCTCTCTCTCTTTCAAGTTTCCACACACGGTTGAGAAAGAAAAGAGCCAGGACCCCGGTTCGATGGGGTTGAGTTGAAGACCAGGTTTATCTCTATAGCTCCAAGCAAGGGCCAGGGAGATCGGGGCTCCGCTCGGAGGCTTCTGACAGCGAAAAGCCGTTTCTTATTTTTTCTTCGGTGCTAAAGCAGGCAATGTGCAGACGCAACCAAATGTGTAGATCCATGGCATGTATCATGCAGGTCGCCCAATCTGTCAGGTCTGGCTGGCGCCGAGCGCCCCTCATCCAGGGTCAAGATCCTGGCTCGTCACCTGGGGGAGAGACTGCGAGAGACTTGGAGTGAGAGGAGATGGGCGCTTCTCGTCCAAGTACATAGTGACCTAGCCGTGGGTGTGTCAATGTGTGGCTTTCCTCCCGTGCTCCCCCCTCAATTGTGTAATGCATGCCGTTGCAGGAGAACCATCTTCCTTACGCCACCGCCTTTGAATGGAGGCATGTAGCAAACAGGGTCGTGGCCTGTTTGGGAATGACGAGGATGGAGCGCGGGCATGCAACTGATGGCAGCAGCATCAATAGAAAGCAGCAGCAACAGCAGTACCTATCTACCTAGCAAGAGGAGGAGAAAGTGAGAGAGTGAGACGGGGAGGCGTGAATGAGGGAATCGAAGGAACCAGCAGCGCCCGCAGATAGCAGGTGGGGTGGTTTGCGAGATCACAGCTTGCAAGGGAGAGAGGAAGTCGCTCCAGTCGACGAAGCAGCCCAATAGTCGAGATGAGAGTGCATCACAGTATCCATCCATACCTACTACTTACAGTCTTCCGTGGAGGGCCCGGGTAATGAAGGGGAATAGTGCCATCTGTAGTGCAGCCGCTGCCCGATGCCCCCCCCCCCCCCCGGGTCCCCCAGTGAAGTGCAGTGCAAGCTTGCAAGCCCAGCTAGCAACCTAGACACTCCAGGCCGTGCCAGCAGCCTAGACTCAAAGCGAGAGGCAAGCGAGCGAGGGCGAGCCCGAGCCCCGTGTGGATGCCAGTGAGTGCAGGTGGTATTCGGGACCTGCTGCACAGTCGATATTCTCCTCCAGGGGCGCTAGTCTTAGATCGAGCTGCGCGTCACAACTGGTGCGTGAGGTGGTAGTCGCTCGGGGGCCAAGCCGCGAGTTCCACTGTCTTCCGGACGTAGCAGAGACGAAGAACGAACGATTAGATACTCGATCGGGACACTCGAGGTGTGGGTATAAGGTGGAGATAAAAACACCCGCACACAACACAACTTCATCATCGTCCGTGCCTCTTTTCGCTGGCTCCGCCCCTGTCGGGTAGGGATACCTTCTCACAGACTCACGCTCTTTACACTGTCGTGACGGTAAAGACTGAGTGAGGTGAACAGGGAACCGCCAGGCATATGCCATGTCTTCTTTGCTTCGTGTGACTTCAATCCCCATTTACTGTTGGACCAACACAAGGCTGCCATTGGATCGACTCGGGGCCCCCAAAAGCTGACTCCAAAGTTTGGCAGCCGTGCACCGGTTGGACCATCTGTTGTCGTCCATGGTCCCGGGACTTTGGAACTCATGATTGCAATAATAGATGATCCTTCTGCTCCTCCATCCCTCTCATCTGGAATCGGAGACAGGCTGTGTCCAACAGTGTTTGCTCTGATTGTTGTTCATGGCTCATTGTCGTTGTCGTTGTCGTTTTGTAACGGCCATCCCCCCAATCCCATACCCATGACATACCGCCCACATCTACCTCACCGAACAACCATCCATGTGTTGTGTTTGCAGAATGGCTTGCTCACTTCACGGCAAGTCCTCGGCGTCAAGTCAAAGTCGGTGTGATTCTGAGATGCAGAATTGAGTGTCCTTTTGGCTAACCCACCCGCCTCTCCCCACACACACTCACATACCCGCCTCAAATCTCGCAGGAAATGCTCATCGTAATCTTTCAGGTTGTTGCTCGAGATACCTTTCTGATTTGGGAGAGACACACACTGAGTTGTACCCGCTGATGAGATGGAGGGATCGATAAATGGCCGCCCATGGATGGCCACGCGGTAGTCGTCGACTGCAGCCGCCTTACCGCCGCATTCTAGGGTCAGGAAAGACGGTTTGTGGGGCCGCCGTCGTGTCGAGTCTCTACTGCGTACAACCCGCTCACTCTCTTGCGGGGGCCCGCCCGACGAGGGTGCCAAAGTCTGGTGAAGAGGCGGGAAAGGTTGGCAGTCTGGCAGGATTGTGTACGCTTAGTTTGGCGCTGACCGGGGGGAGGGGTGTAATGGTGTCAAGAGCCCCCCCCCCCCCAAAGTACGTAGTCATGTTCCATAATGAACAATCTGGATCTTCACCATGATTCGAGTCGGTAGGAATAAGAAACCACTGGCCGCCGCAGATTTCGATGGCCACAGATGGCGGCTGGGCTGGCGAAGACACTTGTCTTTAGGTGGAGAACCCGCTGCCACCCGGACTCTCCGCAAGACTCGGTCTATGGTAAGCATAATGCCGTAACGGTCTTCTTGTGTTGACTTGCAGCTCTGCTGCCCACTCATCTGCGAACCTGCTGCCGGCCGGATCACCGTCTGGCCAACCAACGGACCCCAGGTTTCTTATTCCATACAGCCAGAGAGGTATCTCATTACCCTGCCTGTCTCGTCTCGTCTGGACTCTTTACTAGACTCAACTCAAGCTTGCCGTCAAATTCAGGGATCTCCCTCCCTTTGTTAAAGCCACGCGACGATGCCTTGTCGAGTGTGAAATGCAGGAGGGTTCGCCACGCTGCATCTATCGTTCCTTTTTCTCTTTGCAGTTGCCTTTTACCGCTCAAAAGCTCTGACGACTTTGCGACTCGAACCAGCCGAGTCGTTAATGAGAAGACCCTTTGTGCTCCAGAAATACATCTCGAACCCATGTAATTGCTTGATTCTTGTTGGACCACCTTGAATCGCGGGCACGTTTCTGACTTGTTGGAGTTGGTTCTGCAAACCGTCGCATCGGGCAGCTTGCTCATCTCACAGCCTCCTACTCTGCGCCGTAAATCGCCCAACGTGCCACATATGATTGCAGGAGGCCCCTTATGATGCTGGCTCATTTTGAATGGTACTGAAGTTAGAAGATGCGCTTGCCGGTTGATGGCAGCATTCGTACTACCCCACGCAAAATGCCTGTATGTAAATCATTTGCGGAGAACGAGCAAAGAAGCCTTGTGAACGGAACGTAAGCCACGAAATATGTGTTAGCAACCTTTATCCGTTGTACCCGGTGTATCCGTCGAAACCTTAGCATTCTCTCCAGTATTCGTATCAGCCCTGGTGCTAATGAGAGGAGCTCCGTGGAGCTATTCGGCCGAAATATTTTGGGTTGCCCGTTTCTGTACGTTGCATACGGTTTTGCCAGCCCAGCGCGTGTTTTGTTGGCAATAATACCACGTCAACCTATTCGCCCTGCGGATGTGTGGCTACCCGCAGTTGTTATTCTCCTGTTTCCTTTTGGAACCTGACCATCAACCTCGTCAAGCCAATACCCGCATTGAAATTCCGAAACAGACAAGCTCGCGGCTGGCTATGGGCCATGATCGACAGAAGCATGCCGCCCGATTAAGAATCCTCTCCTTGGTTAGCACTGTCTGCCGCCTTGGTAACACCCTGAGAGTTTAGCAATTCCCAAGCACGTCACACACCCCTCCATCATCACCTCTTCTGCAGCCGAACCAAGGCTGTACTTTCCTTTCCCTGCAAGAGACACATGCAGACTAAACAATATCGCCATCCCCAGTCGTACACATGGCAATAGACCCTCGAGGCCTGGTCCATGACCGAGCTCTTCACAAGGACGGTGAGCCCTATCCGACCCTCCTATCTCGCGCTGACGCAAAGCTGCCTTTGTCCACCGCTCTTTTGACATATGCGAGATGATCATGAGCTCCCCAAGAACTGCAGCTTGGCGAAATCGATGGTGTTGTGAAGGACTTGAGAGTTGCCGTGGCCACTGGCAGTACGCCCCGTGTACGATGTACTTGCTAGACTCAACAGGAACGCTCCTCGTTGACCAGCTGAGTCAAATAGTGTGAACCTACACCGCTAGGGAGGCCAACTTCGAGCCAGATCCGAAGATGATGCTAGGGGCTCGGCAAGGACACTAGGTGAGCGATTCGGAAGATGCATCCGGCACCGATCGGACCCCACGCAGACGCTAGACTAAACCTTCTACGTAGTAGGAGAATGGTAATTCGAAATCGACCGAACAGCTGAGCTTGACAATGGCAAGCGGGCGTTTGAGATTGTTGCGTGTCCGTCCTTGGACCGTATCGTGACAGAAAAACAATTGTGCCAAATTTAGAGAGATTGCTTTGTAGGTATGCCTGCGGCAAGGTCTGCCAAGGTCAGTTTTCTTCAGCAAAGCGTCGTACCAGATCTGATACTCATTTCGTTATTGCTATTATTCTGTATGCAAATATCCACTTCCCGGGGCCCAAGCAGGGGCCGAGCAATGAGCGAGCGAGCGAGGCTGCGTAGCCTGGAGGTGGCGGGCACGGAAGCGGACACGGATCCGCGATGTTGAGCTGCACTGTGATAAGGAATCAGCCGATATTCGAGCTCTCGCCAGTAGACCCCGCGCAACCCTTCAGGAGCCAAGATGTCAAGGGATCGAAACCAGATTACCTGTTAGTGAACGGCAGCGGCGAGGCAAGGCGAGGCGAGGCGAGGCGAGACGAGACGCAAGATACAGGCACGTCAAGCGTCTTGCATGTGCTCATGACACAGGATAGACATTGAGCACCAATGGCTGCCTCAGATACGAAATTGGATTTCTTCAGCTGAAGGAGCCGATCTCGGTTGACAAAGATCAGACGGTGAAGGTTAGGAGGAGCCATGTGCTTGCGGCGAGATTTCAGGCGCGAATTCGTGTACTGAAGGCATTCAATGGAGAGCAATGGGTGAGCAGTTGAAGTTGAAGAGATGGAACGATGAAATGGTGTGGCAGCTGTAAGATGAAAGTGACAGGGGTCTTTCTGTCATGGATTCGGGGCTAGCCGCTGCGCTGACTGGCTCGCAGATTTGATGGCACCCAGCCCGTGCCAGAGACATGCAGATGATGCATCCCGCAGCAGCTAGGCAAGTCTATCCGGCATTAGCTGCCATCGTATATCGGCCGCAAGGACGGATGGTGCGGATCGGTTTTAGTCAGGCTGGAGGACCTAGAACTTTGTTGCAGCCTTCGACCCTTCTGAGCGACCCGTCGAGGAACTGTCCTTTGTAGAATCCTGAGAATGAAAAGAAGAAAAACTGCAATGCAAATGACGAAGCACGCCGCCAATGAGCCAATTCCTAGAGACGATGATGACCTGCAGCTCTGTGGGGAGAGACCTTGTCAGGTTTCACTTTTCCTTCCACCACCACGCCGAGCGCCACTCCAGCGTCGGCCTGCGAAGAGTTTTCGGCCGTGGAAAAGGACTCGTCGCCAGAGAATCGCCTGTAGATTGTTTTCTCAAGTCAGCATACTTCCGAGGACAGCATCCGAAGATTCTCGGGCGGTGGTAGAGGAATACGGGTAGGGAAAAGAAAAGATAGGGAGGGGCGGCCCCTCGGTGGGTGTCGGGCAAAAGCAAGGGTGAGGGCCGGCCAAGGTCCCATTGGATTGATCTCGGCCAGGGCGGGCGCGCGAGAGTGCGGGTTGGAGCGGGAAGTCCATCTGAGTACTTACCATCCCCTCTCTTCTCCTCCGCTCAGAAAGCTGCAATCGCTGTTGAGCTCACATATCCACCCGCCTGCGACTCCCCGACCATTCCTCCACGACTTGGTATCCGCGATTGGGCCTGTTGGTTCCATTGTCAACCGTGAGCCCCAATAGCCTGATGATGACGTAGGGGTTCGAATCCTACCATCGGTTCCTGGAGTTTTTGCTGAAGAAGAGGGTGATTTTCTCCGGTACATGCTTAATCCACAGGTAAAGGCTCGGAAATCTGCCGCATCAATACTCTCGGGCATTTCGCCAGTAAGGACTCGGCCAAGAGCAATAATCGAGGCAGCGTGGGAGCACAGAATAACTGCACGGTGGCCCTGGGCGTCGCATTGCTCAATGATGGCTTGAACACCAGCAGCGACACGGTCGTGCAATTGAGCGATAGTCTCACCGTTGCGGGCGGGATAGACGCGGCTTTGATACGTGTCATCGATGTGAGGGAACATTGGCTTCAAGACGTCTTTCGAGGCTGGAGTCGGGTGCTCGAATGGAGCGGCGCCATACCATTCGCAGAGGCCGTGTTCGGGACGAATGGTGACAGCATCGGCTTTAGCGCCAACGTCTTTTTCCCGAAGGCGGTTGAGGTTTTCCTGGTTGAGAGTAACAAAGGGCGTGATAGTTTGCAGACAGCGATAGTAGGGGCTGGAATAAACTGCGTCGATTGGAGGCTCAACGGTCAGGAGGTGGGTGCCCAGCTCCTTGGCCTGGTCGACGCCATGGGCAGTCAATTCCGGATCCGCAGGTATACCTGTCGGTGACGGGATGGAGGCCGTGTAGCTTCCCGTGGCAGGGTCGACAAGCCAGTTGGACCGGAACTGAAGAACGCCAAGGCCGTTGTCAGAATGAAGTCTCTTGCTCAAAACCAGCAGGGCCAGCATCAACTGACAAATTCAAGAGAATTGCCCGCGGATCTTTATCAAGTACCAGGGTGTGTGGGTTTGGCGATGAATAGGTTGAAGAAGGTTTCATGAGTGAAACTTTTCCCCAAGCCCTCATCTTCTCAGCCATTCTCGTTCTCGTTGGAACGTTGGTCTCGGAGATGAAGCCGGATACGAAAGGAGACTGGACAGAAACGGGCAGGGGGAAACGGATACTTACTCCATGGCGGGTGATGTAGATTACTTCCAATGACATGTTGGAGACTAAAGAGCAAAGCGGAGCGTCGCAAGTTGTATCCCTGGAAGAGGACCGACCAAATGGGGATAGAAAACGGGTAAGCAACGATGGGGTCGGCCGGGCGTATAGTGTTTGTCGTCGTGTGTCTCGTGTGTGTGTGTGTGTGTACGTGTGCGTGGTGCTTGTTGGTTCCAGGATAAGGTGAGGACCGTGAGGCGTGAGGCAGAACGTGGCAGGGTTCTGTGGCTGTGGGCAGGTCAGTATCCGTATGGAGTCATGGATGTTCGGTGTCTGGTCCAGGTCTCGGTAAATTGGGACAGGATGTGATGGAGGAGTAAGAGGAGTAGGAGAGGTTGGGTGTGCGTACGTCTGAGAGTGTTGGCGTGTGAATGAGTTTCCGTATGCGTGTGTGTGGGATGTGTGCGGGAGAAGACGTAAGGTGGACGAAAAGAGCGGGTGTCTGGTGGCGGTTGGTTGAAGATGTCGTTCAACTAAGAGTGCGTAAAGAGCCCGGACCAGTTCCCCGTGCGCTTTGTGTTCCCCCAAACCAACGCAGTCACCCTGCCGAGGCAAATGGGACGGCAAGAGTGACCTGCCACGGGCTGGGAAGGAAGGGACCACTGGGCCAGGGCAGGGCACTCGGGGCAGGCAGGGTAGGGCAGGCAGGGCCAAACCTGGAAAGAGCCTACCTACCTACTCAGACCAAAGTGCCCTGGGAATACATTGGGAATACCTACACGCTCCTGCTTACCACCCTTACCTGGTTAGAGTGCCTGGGAAGGGGACTCTCGGTGCACCGTGATTACCTTGGTATCGTACGGATAATCAAGTACCTTTCCTAGCGAAGCTACGCCATTGGACACCTTACGCCAGTCCTCCCTAGCTTACCTCACGGGTGCGAAATACAACCACCTAGGTTGCCTTAGGTAAGTGGGGCCCACATCCTTCAGCACCTCATGGCATCCGAACACCCTCACAAGTGACGATCCTCGATGATATCCATCCACCCATCCCTCCACCGCACTACTGCTCAGGCACTCTTCTCCCGGTTCCGCCCCTGCCAGCCCGCGTTCGGGGCAGGTCACATCTCACTTTTACACCCGACACCATTGTCGAGTCCGGTCTGCGGATACTGGGTGACTGGATACGGAACCATGGGCGGCGGCTGCTCAAGGCTTGGGTAGGTAGGCTTGGGGGGACGGATGCCTGCCTGCCACGCACCACCTCACGCACCACGCACTTGTGGGTTGTCAAGAGAATCGACGAGCGTGTCAGGCAGACGACACACATTACGGAGTACCTACACACATCACACATCATCAAAACAGGGTGTGGACAGGCCGCTGACCGGGACACTGCAATGGGCATCACCCGGGAATCCCAACGTAGTATTCCACCGACCGGTCAAAGTCCCCGCAACCTGGAAGATGTGCAGGTGATCGATCAACCTGCAGCACGGGCGCCGAATGTGACAAGTCCAGGCCTCACCGAGTCCCAGCCCAATTCTGCATTCGAATCCGTACAAGGCAATCCAGCGCCAATATCGTGTCGCTATTGGTATTGTCTGTGGCTGTGATTGCACGGAAAGGGGCTGCGGGAGTACTCGATGTGTACCTACACATTCCTTTTCTCACACACACGCACACACTCCCTTGCGGACTACACACACGCTCGCACGCACCGTTGAAGGAAGGCTATGCGGCAACGCATGCTGCTGACCAGGGCCTGGTCAAATCTCCGCAACACCCTTTCCGCACCCGTTGCAGAATGTCAAAGAGTCCAGAATCCATCTGCAAGAGTCCATGAATGCAGATACATAATCATGTCATAAGTATTCCGTCACAACCACCCGACGGGACATAATAAGAAACAACCCCAGCGAAACACGGGGCACATCGTCGTCGGCCGCCCGTCGCCCGTCAGCAGTCATGCTTGCAGTCGGGGCCCTTGTTCATGATGCGCCCTCTCTTCTCCTCTCCTCTCCTCCCCTTGCCTCCTTCCAATCCGCCGCATCCTGTGTACCAAATCCTGATCCCGACTCCATCTCACCAACCAGGCTGCCCGCTCATAAGTAATCAGTGGTAGTTCAGCTCTGGGTTCGCCCTGAAATTGCATCGACAACGGCACTCGGGTACCGGACACTCAACGTGCCTCGTGAACCACTGCCTCGCATGGTCCAGGTGCAGAACGTGTTCGCATTTCAAGCAAAACGTTGGGAAGTTGGCTGCCATCCACCTCTCCGGCTCACCGTTGTGCTCCGGTCGGTCAGACCTCGGAACGCCCACCACCTCAAGACACACAACACACCGCGGCAGATGCCGACCGCAGTTGGGACAGCTGATTCCCGCATTTATGCTCGTCGCCATAAGGGGGTTACGTGAATCAGGCGCCCCAGGCGGCGGTCCCGACCCGACTCCTCCCTGTCCAGCGAGAGTCGTCTCCGCGTCGCAGTACACGCACCGGAGCGCAATCTGGCGCGAGGGCGGCTTGATCGTTGGGCGCCCACCACGCTTGCTCTTCTTCGTGCTCTCCACCTCGAACTTGGTCCTCTGGAGGAAGGCCTTGTGCCGCTGTAGATATGTCCTGTACGCATTCCTCCAAGCCAGGCAACGGTAGTCGTCAATGTAACGTGGCGCACATATCGACATGACTAGCGTCGCCGTCTGGAAGTCGTTGAACTTCTCAACGTATTTGGCGAAAATGTCCACCAGCCTGTCCGTTATGCCCGTGAGAACAATGCCCTCAATATCTCCCGTACTCACAGCCATTGAGACCTGTTCGTTGAGCCACTTGGTGAGTTGCTCGTCGCTAAAGTTCCGCACTGCAACGTAGCCCCGGTCTGACAGGGGCAGGGACTTTTGGTTTGCAATGGCGAACCAGTCTCCCGTGGCAATTAGTGACGAGATTGCCCTTAGATAGGGGTCCGTTTTCGATGCCACGGCCTCGTCGAAATCAAGCTGCTCCTTGTTAAGGTGATGATTGCTCTTTCCGATGAGTTGCAGGGCGAGAGAGACAAATAACAACTCTGGGTGTGTTACGCTCGCCGTCTTCAGAATTCCAATCGCCTCCTGCGTGTTGCCCTTGAAGAGAGCCCGAGCTGCTGCCATCGTGTGTGCCGTTGTCGGATAGTCTTGGCTGGGATCGTGCGTCGCTGCTCCCCTGGCTTCATGTGCCGCCGTATCCCCCCATTCGCAGATATCTAGACACAGCTGTCTGTGGAAAGGCTTCTTGGTGTGGATGCCTTCGTACTTTGGTAGTCGCCGCTTCTTACAAATGCTTCCAATACACTTCTCCCACAACGTCGTTTCGGGGATCGGAGATGCCTCTGGAAGTCTGGATGATGGCTTCCGGCCTGCTACATGTTAGTCACGGATCTGGTGATAGCAGCGGACTCTTTACGGACCCAAATCATCACACCAGATGGTACAGACGCCCATATAACTAAGGTCGAGCGGCGACAACTTCATGCCTCCATCCGCTGCAGCATCTTCGGCGTCTGCTCAGGATTAGCAACAATAACCCTGGTGCGTTCGTCCTGCTCACCTGAAATCCAATCCCACATATACCGCAACCACGGATCATCGGCTACCACGACACGATTGACATTGCAATCGAAAAGGTACTTCTCCTTCGCACGAAGAAGCATGACGTGGTCTAGGAGACACTGTGCCTTCGTCGACAAGTCCTGAGCCTTCAGGGGCAGCGAAAGAAGAGATTCATGCATGTGACGACACGAGACCGGCCCATCGGTAGACAGTGATAACTGGGCGAGCGAGCTGACTGATTCTTCCATGATGGAGCTCTCGCCGCCATTCGCATCTGCTTTCCTTGCCTTCTCCTTAAGTTCCGTTCTCAGAGCTCGCATCTTTTCTGCAGTAGACTTGGACTTATCGATGGGCGACGAGGAGCTGGCATCATTGCCCGTCAACCTACTGTTGAGATCTGCTGCAGAGAACTGTGACTGCAATGTCTGATCCACGATAGTCTGAACATCGGCCTTGTCGGGGCCAAAAATAGGAATGTCGGACAGTGCTTCCTCAACAAACAAGGGACCGAGCATGTCAGAAGACTGGGACGGCTCGAATTCCATAATCTCGTGGTAAGGTCCTCCTTCTGTATGGTGTGAGCGGTCTTTATCTCTCTAAACAGTCTGGCACACGTACCTTCTAGTCCACGATGTGGTGGTTGCCAAGGTGTCAGCTTATACAGATAATCAGAGGTATACGACGGTTGTTCGAGGATCTCAAAGGACCCATTGGCCCGCAAGACGAGGAGACGAGGCTGCAGGACCGAAGAGTCGAGCGTCACCCAGTCAAAAGAGACAATTCTGTCATTCTTCCTGCCGCTATCGCCGTATTGAACATCCATGTCGTGGGATTTGTGGACCTCGAGAAGCTCTGGGCTACCTTCAAGGGCCATGTCGCGATGCGTTATCTCCTTGTTCGTCTCCAAGACCTTGAGCTGGCCGGATCGAGACAGCACAGCCAGGAGACCCCGTCGGTCTCGACAGTAGCGCAATGAACGGACGATGGAGTGCTTGCTTTCGCTCAATGAGGAATCGTCATCCATCTCAACCACTCTGTCGAGTCTCAAGGCTCCACCCCACGGAAGGTCGTCCTCGTCAACGGCGCCCAGATAAGATGGCGAGGCAACTGGACGAGACGTTGCTCGTCTATCCCAAATCATGATGCCAGGTTGATCCAGTGCGGATGATGCGAAGTAGTTCTGGTCAGCGTAATCGATGGCCAGGTTGTTGTTACACTTGGTCTGAAAGGTCACAACAGCGCCAGGTTCTGCAGTCAGATTAAATTAGCAGGTTTCTTCCGACAAATTGTGCGGTTGCTATTTACCTCGCAGGTCATGGATGTGTAGACCTTGGGCTTTGATACCGACCACCAGCGTCTTTGGGTTATCTTCAAAGAATTTAACGCTCGACACTGACACGCTGTGTTCCAGTCGATATGCTGGGTCTGAGAAAGCGTGGAGATCCTTGGGAAAGCCTTTGGCGGCCGTATTCATCGTCGACAACCTGTTTACGTCCCAAATGTGTAGACACTGATCCATGCGCACTCTATCCAAGCCAACTGCAAGAAGACCCTCGGTGTTGAATGCCACCGCCTGACATGTTCTTGTCATTTTGAGGTTCAATTCAATATAGGCGTTGGAGTTGTCGTCCATCCTGAGCAAGTTGACGACGCCCGTTTGAGTGCCGACGGCCAGGAGACCTGGGACCGTTGGCGACCAGTCATAGGTAGTGAGCGTTGGGAAATCATCGTGCTTTGAAAGTCTTGTGTAATCGAAGCGGTTCCTCTGTGCAAGTCCGGTGGGCTCATATAGCTGCACGACGCGATGTTGCAGGTTTATGTGGATAAAGCTGTCGAAGCCGGGTATCTGCGACCATTTGATCAGTCCAGGCTCCGGGCGGTCCATGGCGACCGCACGCGCCTGAATATCGTAATGAGCTCGGATTTCTCCTTTCTAAGTCGAATAGCGAGAGAGAGACACCTATATCAACAATGAAAGTCGAAAGAGCGCTCATCCATGAGCTGCCTGAACAAGCCCGTGAGTGATGTGAGCCGTACTGGATGAACTGGTTCGCTATAAGCTGCGCGGTAATGGCGTTTTGCCTGAGAAATTCCGAGATTGTTATGGTCCCAACACCGATTAATGAATGATCTTGAAGATGAGGTATGCAAAGAGAAGTTCCATGCCAGTAGTCGCTTTCAATCAGGTATCATCTGGAGTCGCTGGAGCTTTGGGTGGGACTACTTTACTTTGAGATCAGTGAGCCGTTGTAATTGGGACCTGTCATTGGCGCGCACAGACCAGTCACATTACCAGTCCCATTTGGGACTGATAAGCACCCCAGGTGGGGTCGGCAACTTCCTTGAGGCCGATAACGAGCCAAATTTTTGAAAGAGAAGTTCGCGATGCCATCGTCAGTTCTTCATCCTCCATACAGCATTCTGGCCGACCTCAACCGACCACATCGCAACACCACAATTCAAACATAAATCACGCAGGATATTCACTACACAATCAATAGAAATGGGCACGAAACGAGCGTATTCTGAGGTCGCCGCGGAGGGTACAATCCCGGACGACACCCACGAGCAACAGCAGCAATCGGGCTCGGAAGACGGCGAGCACGAGAACAAGCGGTTCAAGACCACCAAGAAGAAGTCTAGGGCGAAAGAGGGCACAACAAACTGGAACAAGACGCGCTCGAGAGATATCAGAAGACTCTTGCAGAGCGGCAAGCAACTGCCCGCTACGAAACGCAATGAGCTGGAACAAGAGCTGGAGGCGCTGCAGGAGAGAGTCGAGGAGCACAACTTCAAGAAGAGGAGAGGCGACATGATTCAGAAGTACCACATGGTTCGATTTTTTGGTTCGTCTTCGTCATTCCTTGCATCAATGTCTATCAGCTAACCCCGTTTCTTTTTTTCCTTTGCAGAACGGAAAAAGGCAGAGAGACTACTGAAGCAGCTCCGCAAGAAGCTCCAGCAATCCGAGGATCCCGAAGAAAAGAAGCGCCTCGAGGCCGAGGCCCACGTGGCCGAAGTCGACGTCGCCTACGCCCGCTTCTTCCCCCTGATGGAGCGCTACGAGAGTCTGTACCCCAACAAGGACAAGAACGCCAAGGAGGAGGGAGACGAGGACAAGGCCGAGGAAGAGCAGCAGCAGCAGAAAGAGCAAGCGGAGGCGGATGCGGATGCAGATGCAGATGCGAAACCCTCCAAGCAACCCAAGGCCCTGCAGTTCCTCCACGCCGAACGACCTAAGATGTGGGCAACGATCGAAAAGGTCCTTCCGGAAGGCGAGGTGGCCCTGTACCGGCTGCGCGATCGCAGGTCACCGGCAGACGGCCCCGCCAAGCGCCAGGCCCGGCCGCAACGGCCCGCGAGACAGACGCAACAGACCCGGCCGCAGAGAGTCAAGGAGGAGGACCCTTGGGTGGCCAGGTCGAAGAAGACGTTCGAGAAAAAGAGGGATCCCAAGCAGCCGATGAACCGGAGGGAGCGCAGGGCGGCTGACAGGAAGGCCCCCGCGAAGGTGGAAGAGGAAGATGACGGCACGGGCTTCTTTGAGTGAGGCTCGGAAAAAGAAAGCAAGCAAGGTGTTGAGCGTTTTGGTAGTCAATAGTATACCCCCTAAAAGTTTTATGGGATCACGTTAATGGAAACCACACTTTGATAATATTGTCAGCTCGAGCACATTTACTGCTCGTCATATCGCGTATTCTACGGCTGCCCAGTGTTAGTTGATACATGTCGTTTGAAAGTCATCTGAAGTCATACTAAACCTGCAGTCTTAACATTAGGTATGCTGAAGACCAGGCTGCAATAATGTTTAAACCAACATCTATGATGGGCGGATAAACGACGAATCACGTTCGCCAGATTGAGTTGACTTCCATTGCAGGTGCGTCACGGTCGTCACCACGCAGAAGTGGCAGCCTCCTGCAGAACACCGTTTTGGCCCAGCCAAGAGAAGCAGCCACACTGGACAGAGCGGCCAGAAAACGCAACCCCACCAACGTGGTTAACCTTCACCCGTCTCAACCCCTCCGTTTCCTCCTTCTCATACATCAAGAAGAGAACATCTAATGGAATACAACATGATTCCCATTCATGTTCTTCAGCTTTAGATGCCACATAGACATCCTCTCATTTTCACTCATAACCTATCGTCACCCGTAAAACCAAAGACCATAGCGCGCACCATAGCCGCAGCCGCAGCAACTTTAACATACGGAAACGCACACTCACACCCACGCACGCAACATACACACGCAATGGCAGGAGACCCGTCATCAAACGGCACAGCCGTCCAGCGCGTAGACTGGTCGGCCCTCCGAGCCTACATTGCCGGCAAGGAAGCTTTCGAGGCAGAACACGGCCGCCCCGCCCCGCTCACGGATCACGAGGTCTCGGCCATCGCCATCCTCCTCCGTCCGGCCCCGCGACCGGAACCGGACTTGGGTAAAACGAACTGGCTCGGCCTGTTGAATCGTGAGTTGAAGCACTTTTCCTTATACACCATACACTTCTCTTTACAATTCCCTCATTCTCCGCATCGGATCATGTATCTATTCGAGGCCGGGAAAGCAACCTCTTCCCCTTTAACCCCAGAGCATCAGAATTTCTCTTGATCCGAAGCATTAAACCACCTTCATCGAATTTGATTTCCTCAAACCCATACTAATCAAATATCCAAAACATACAGATTTTCAACAGGTCAGAAACCAAAAAGTAACCTTCACCGACGAAGCCCGCCAGGAACAGGGCCTAGGCAAGGCCAAAGAGCTCCGCTGGGCCTGCTCAGCAACGTTTGACAGCACCGGCGACGTCTTCCCCCAGCCGGGCTACGGCATGGACGCCGGCGAAGACGTCTCCCGCGGCGGCGCCGGCCCGTCCTTTCCGGGCAAGAAGGACGCGAAGCAGTGGGCGGCCAAAGCAGCGTGCGAGTGGCTCATTGACAACGGGCACATGATGCCCTCGGGTGACCTGCCAAAGTTTCCCAAGCCGTTTGCCCCGGCTGCTAGTGCTGCCCTCGCTGCCGCCGCTGCTGCTTCCGCTCCAGCTCCAGCTCCAGCTCCAGCTCCAGCTCCAGCTCCAGCTCCAGCTCCTTCTCCCTCTCCTAGTCGTGGCGTCTCGTCCGGGTCAGTCCTACCCTCCAAGAGATCCCCGCCGAGCTCGCCGCCAACAGAAAGCAGTGCCGACGCGTCAAGGAAGAAGCAGGACACAAACCAACCTCCAAAGACATCTCCATCGCTACCAGCTCAGGCAACCAGCACCACCGCAAGCAACAGCACTAGCAGCAGTCTTCCCGGTCACCAAGCATCACCTCCCACATCCACTCAACCCTCCAGAGCGCCGAAATCAACTCTCCCCCTCAACGTGACAGCATCACCAACCTCCGCTGCCGCCCAAGACTCGACGACTACATCCACGGCGAGTACACCCTCTCTCGGCGGCGCCGGCGTCCTCATCACCACCCCCGCCGCCGCCACGGCGCAGTCCCAGGTCTCCACGCCTGCCATCTCTCCCGTGCCAACCTCAACACCAGCACGGGTATCAACACCTGCAACGCCAGAGCAAGAGTCGGCAACAGCAACGACATCAGCAGAGAAGCGCGTCCGCGACCTCTGCGCGCAGCTCCACTTCCCCGTGCCGCGGTACGTCTTGACGCCGGACCCAGCGCTCGAGGACTTCTGGGACGGCCGCGCCGACTTTGACGGCAACCCGCGGATCCCGGACGACCTGGGTACCGTCCGGCGGGTGTTGCATAAGAAGGCTGCGAGGGAGAGGATGGCGGATGCGATTGTGATTTGGTTGGAGGGGGAGGTCGTGAAGAGGGAGAGGACGGCTAAGCTTCTGCTAGGGAAGTGATTGTATGACGGATAGGGGCGATGGTTCGGGCGGTTTCATGGAAACTTGAGTGGTGATTATGAGCTTGTAGATGGATTCTTGCGAGTCACCTTTGTGGAAAGGGGGCATGTCAGATATGAGGAGCTTTGAACGCAGAGATACATAGGGGGTCGAGGTTCGTTGGCCAAAAGTATGCCAACAGCACAGCAACAATCGCTTCGCTTTCATGAGACTTGCTAAGGGGAAGTTGCGAAAGGACCGCCAGCTACCCATATCATAACTTATATCCTTCTTCACGTTTGACTTAAACGAGTAGTCTTATAAATGGCCACGGTAGGACGTCTTCTGCACTCGCGGTCCGGAGGTTCATCAAACTGAGGTTAGTGGGCCGTAGATCCTAAGAGTCCTCCTTTTTGCAACTCGCGGAAACCACATGTCTATGCCTAACCCATCTGTCCCTCTGCAATGTGTCTAGGTCTTTCTTCCGCTTCACCATCACCACCTCAAGCCTTCCCTCCCCTTCTCTCACCACCACCACCACCCCTCCCGCCTCTCCCCTTCCCAGGCGGCGCCCTCATCCTCAACCCCTCAGGCAACTCACCAACCTTCTCCCCATCCCTCCAAAGCACACCAACCCCGCTCCCCTCGTCCCTCGCAACAACCTCCCTAAACAACCGGCACGGCACAACCCCCTCCCCATCCCCCTCCGTCAACACGACCCCGTTCTCACTCACCCACCACTTAATCCCCTCCTCCTCCCTCAACGCCCTCTCGACATCAACATACACCAACACCTCGGCATCCTTCCTCATCCCGCTGACGACGCCCTTCTCATCGCCGGGTAACCCCGTCGCAAAGTGGACGTGGTTCCGCCCCATCCTCTTCAACCCGCCCGACGCCTCAATCTGCTTCCAAAACGCAAAGTACGTCCCGTGCACCACCACCGCCGGCACGTTGCCCGCCTCGAGCGTGAGGGGGGTCAGCAGGCCCGCCGACTCGACTTTGATACTGTGGCCCTGGTTCGCGCGGATCAGCCAGTCCGAGGGCTCGGTCGATAGCTCCTCGCTCGTCTCCGCCGCCGCCGCCGTGGGGTTGAGCTTGAGTGCGAAGCGCTGCTTGTCCGACGTCGTGACCGCGGCTTGGATGTCGGAAAAGGTTACCTTGAGAGACTTGATGGGACCGTATGCGAGCTTTTTGTATCCTCGTTAGTAGCTGTTGATGAGTTTGACCATGAGACGGGAGAACCATCATGTCTACCCTCCAAGAAGACAAATTCTTCCCTGATTCTTATCATCTCTCATTTACGAAAAGGGAAGTTAGAATTCTTCAAGACTCACCACCTTGTCCAGAGGCGCATACCCGCCCTCGTCAAGCTTGAGACCCGCGTTCTCAGCCTGGTGCCTCAAAAGCTTCGAAAGCGCCTTGGAAACCAATACCTCCCTCGGCTGACCCCCTCCTCGACCACCACCGCCTCCCCTTCCGCCTCTGCGTCCCCCTCCCCCTCTCTTCTGTTGCTGCGCACTGTCGCCAGCCGCGGGGGCAGTCTCTTCAAATTGGTCGGCCATTTCTCCGTTTTTCTGGGCCCACGATGATCTAAAGTGAGCCGGAAACAAAATTGAACCGGTGAACCTTTGAGGTTCAAAAGTCGTCCTCCACCTGGTGTAATTTCTGGTGTTCCCTCTCGCGGTCGAGGAAGGTGGTGCAAGTGGGGTCCGCGACTGAGTAGCAAACGTCGCTGAGGAGCGTAAACTCGGCGGTCTCCTTGAACTGAAGCCACGAGAAGCGAGCTGTTTGATTCGTCTGGAAGAAGATGAAGATCCAATGAGGCGGTTTGGCATGTGTGAAGACGTTGGACGAGAAGAAAGCGTGTAAGACGTCTTATGTATAAAACCTCAGTGTATGCAGGTAAGGTCGGTCGATGTGTGAAGTCGGAGTTGGGTTGGGCCCAAGACCCGCTTAAAAAAACAGCCCTCCTTTCCATGGTGAGTGGCTCATCCAATGAACAAAGCCCCCCTTCACCTGTCAAACATACTTTCACTTCCTTTTGGTCTCGCCGCCGGTGAGTCAACTTGTCAGCTCAACCAAATACCTCTCAATACAACGGATGCAATGGCGGCCTCGGACGCTCACGCATTAGGGCCCTGGCGTGTTTATGGCTGGTCCGCTGGCGATGTGACCAAACTCAATCGCAGCGCTGAGGCGTCCCAGATGTACATGCTCACAGTTGCATGGAATCTACATCCTACCTTATGCGCAAAACGTCATATCTCTTACAACATCACGTAGTCTCAAGCTGAGAAAAAAAATTGACCAAACAAGTCAGAAGCATCCTATGCTTCTGTCCTTGACCTTTTGTTTCCTATGGACTGCCCGATATACAAATGCTCTACTCCAGCCTGTTTTTTTTTTAACGGGAAAGGCGGATCCCAAGAAATCAATCGGCCTTCCCTCGTGGATTGTCATACAAGTACAGAGTAACCGCTGCCGAGCCCATGCGGTGTTACCATATGCAAAACAAGAATGACGCCAGCGTGAGAATAAGACATCTATGATACATTCATCCGTGTGACTGTGATTCGTAAAGACGTTATCGGTAACTGCCCGACTGAGCAGCCGTTGATGAATTCGTTATCGTGCTGTCGCGATTCGGTCTGCGGCTAATGCTGCTAGCCCGGTTCAGCAACGAAGTGTGACTGAGAGAGAAGTGTCGCGGCTGCGCAACAACCTGTTGCGGCCGTTCTTCGGTGACTTTCTCAGCCGAGGAAGGTTGTTCGCGTTCTGGAGTTCTTTCCAGATATCGGCGCGTCGCCAGCGATGGTGTGGAAGGCGCAACCAGCCGAGAAGTGATAGAGGAAGCTCCGAACCGTCTGCGAGGCAGGGCAGAAGAAGCTGGTGATGAGAGTTCGTTGGAGTTGGTGTTTGAGAGGTAGGTATGAGAGACTGCGCGGGCCGGTGTGGTGAGCTCTGTAGCAGCGCGGGACGGGGCACGAAATCTAGATTCATCTTCGTCTTCGCCGCCCACAGTTCCCCTCCGTGAGCGAAGAAGTGACGTTTGACGTCCATTCTCGCGGCCTGCTGCTTCGCGTGAATCCTCCGGCTCCTCTGTGCCTGCTCGTCGGGTCCTCAGCATAGAAGACCTGCGGCCATCCTCAGGCTCTTCGGTAACAGCACGGCGCGAACGGCCAATGAACAAGGATGACTTTCGGTTCGCCATTTTGCTGCTGTCGCCGGGGGTACTAGGAATGGTGCCGGGTGGAAGAGCAAACCTGGGACTGGGGAGCGAAACCGGGTTAAGCATGGTGTTGCGCCTCTCTTCGTATTTTGAGAGGGCCCTCGGGCTCGTGACCGTGGTAGCATTGGCCTTCGGGAGAGTCTGCTGCTCGGCGGACGTTATGCTAGGACGTCGCTGGCCAGATGATCCGCCGGTGAAGGTCTTGTTGATAGTTGGTGTGACGGGTGTCGTCGTTTCTTTTGGTGTAGGAACGTTGACTTGGAGAGTCTTGTTGCCAGCCGCTTCTTCGCTCAATGCCAGGACTAACTCTGTAAGGCTTCGGCAGATGCTGTCAGCCTTGCGTCGCAATTGACGATCCGTCAGGCTGGTGCCGACGCCAATTGTGCTGGCACCGCTGGAGATGGGCCCGGGCTGACCTGCCGTCCCCATCATGTTGGCCAGTGCCAGGGCGTCTGTTGCTGCCACCTCGAGTGCCTTGGCCACCTCTTCACTAAGGAATGGCTTGGACTTATTGACAGCAGAAAGAAGGATGGGTTGCTGGACCTCGCGTTGTGAAGACGTCGTGCTAATTGCGTCGGTGTGGGGATGCTGGCTTTCGGAAGCTCGTTTCGGCGAGGTGGACATGGTCGTGTTAGTTGCGGTCGGCGGGCGATCGTCTGAGGCTCTTGACATTGCGGCGCCCGACGTCTTGGGTAACTTGCCGGTCAATTCCAGGCGATGGATACGGGACTTGAGATCATCCAATTCATCCCACACTGTCGACGGTGCGTTTGTCGATGCTGTCGCCGTCGATTCGGTTCCCTCGACTGTCGTTGCTGCGTCTTGGTGCGTTTCGGTGCGTGGTGCTTCTATCGATTTAGGAACCAATGGCGAAGAGTTATACGTACGCGTTTGGCCATATGACAAGTTGGATTGTCTGTACGCCGAGCTGCGCGCAGAGTAGCCGGTGTTGCTGTCTGTCAAAGAAGGCCTTCTCCGTGCATATGGAGAGTTCTCTCCCATCGGATCCTGAAAGGTAAAGGACCGGGGTGTGTTGACGGTTGAGCGAGACGAAGATTGATGGAATGTCTTTACGCGACCAAGGTCTTCGCCGGGATGCGCGGATGAAGGCCGGTCTCGGGTCAAAGGCGATCGGTACGCCAACGCGCGAGCCATTGGGTCAGCAGCGCTGTCGTCCTCTGACGATTGGCGTATTCTCTTCTTGGAGGTTTCTTGTTGATCGGACAGACGGCGACTGATTTGGGGTGGGGATACAGGATGATGATAAGACAATGGAACAGCAGCGGAGAGGGGTCGGCGATGCGAAGATCTTGCGACACGGGCCTGTTGTTCATCGTCAGTAAGCTCACGTTCATCCATGGCGAAACTCTATCAACATATCCAGTACGCCTGGATTAGCGTCACCGGAGCGTGGGAAATGAAGCAGCGCTAGAGAGGTGGTGGACTATCATATCCAAAAGGGGAATTTGAATAGGAAAATGTGGGAAGAGCGGGAAGATCAAGCAAAAAGATACGGGAAGACGGCTTGATATCGTGGCGAACAGACGCCAGCCATCGCAGGGCACGGCCGTTTGCATCGCGCTAACATATTTCCCGAAACAACAACGCAAACCCATGAAAGATGGCTAAACTTACTATGGCACTTGGCTGCTCCGCTGGCGCAACCTCTTTAGAGCCACGGCGCGTTGGTTCCTGTCTGGCGATTTTCATAAAGACGTCACCGGTCGTGTCGTCGGCGTCGGCTGACAACGGCGGTGTCATTTGCGAATAGTCATCGTCGCGTCGTCCTTCAAGGGCGCGCAGAGTGCGGTCGCGCTGATTGGAGTCGGCGTAGTCGTCGCCAAAGTCAAAAGAGCGCATGGTGGAGGTGCTACTGTCAAGTCCCAGACTTCGACGAGACCCGGATGAGCGAAAGGAACGGATGGGAGCCACGCGCACCGAGGTGGTCGGGGTGCTGGCGGTGGTGGCTTTGAAGGATACGGGGGGTCGCGAGGCTATCGACTTTCGTTTTTCATCTGTCGGGCTTGCGTTCTCCAAAGTCTTTGGCAGTATCAGCTCACGCTGTCCCTTGGCCCAGTCCTTTGTTGTTTTGTCGCCTTGGGGTTGAGCGACGTCGTCGGGAGTGTCGGGGGCTTGCGAGTGATCGGTATCTGCGGATGGTGACTCGCTATCGGTCGCATTCGACTCGCGGGATCGGTATGCAGCCGCACGTCGAGTTTGCAGTCGGGAGAGAGGGGCAGCAGGTGTCTTGAGATCTGCGACGTTGCTGTGGGATGAGATGGACTGCACGATGACGGGGCGGTCGGGATAAGACGCGGGCCGTCTTGGTGAGGTGGCTGAAGCTGCAGGGGTGGACTGAGTAGCAACCTGATACGTTGATGCGCGGGAACGAGGGCTGAGTTTTGGAGGCGACTCGGGCAGTTCGTGGATAGGACTCGAAATCCGAGGTGAGAGCTGGGACAATTGGCGATGGGAGGGACGCCGATCGTGTAGTCGAAGTGAAGTCGAGTGGGTGTTTTGGGGTGGGATGTTGTTTTCCGGGTCGACGTTGTGTTGTTGTGGCTGCTGGTGGTGCAGCTGCAAGTCTGACGTTGTTGGCAGGGTGGTGGGAGAGGCGGTGTCAGTGTCGGTGGTTATGCCAATGCCAATGTCAGTGTCAGTGAGGGCGACTGTGTTGGTGAAAGTGATTGTGTCGGTGGCAGTGCCAATCGCAGGTGCCGAGTGAAATTCGTTGGATGTTGGAGTCGATTTAGGCGAGACAGGCGACAGCGGGATGTGGTGCAGTAGTGAGGGGAGCACTAGGCGTGGGGATTGGTATTGCTTGTGTAAGTCGGCGAATCGAAAAGCGGGAAGCTTGGACGAGTTGTGGCTCAGCCGATGTGCGTGATAAGGTGAAGAAGGTGAATTTGCTGAAGATGTCGCAGAAAGTGAGGGAGTATGGAATGCAACAGCACTTTGCGAAGAGAATGAGGATGAAGGAGACGCGGACGCGGACGCGGATGCGGATACCGTAGCAGAAGAGAGCTGTGTGGGATTCAGAGTCGGGGCATGGCCCGCAGCTTCGAAACCACCATCTGCTGGTGCTGGTGCTGCTGTTGCGGGTGCGGGTGCTGGTGCTGGCGGTGCTGCTGTGGCCGTGGCCATGTTCGCGTCGGGGGGGGGGGGGCTGTTAGGGGTCGGGTGGTGCCTCTGCTCTCTCTCTCAGTCAGGAAATCCAGGTTCGGGGTCCGCTTTCAATTCGCTTCGGTCGCTGCGCCTGCGAGTCTGGCCGGGCTCCTTTGTTTTTCTTCCCCTTCTTTTTTTTCGTCCTCGCCCTCTTTTTTTTTTCGTCAGTTTCCCTGGGCCGGGGGTGAGCTCTTTGCGCTGTTTGTCTCTGACTGACCCCAGTCCACCAAAGTCGAGGGCCAGTTCCTATGGGAATCCACCCCGTCCAATGAGCAACCGGTCGCGTTCTGTGGCTCACGGGTCGATTAGTGGTGTGTGCACGCCTGCAGGCGTTTGTTTGCTGATAAGCGTTATCGTTATTTCTTTTTTTCGTCTCCCAACGGTTACTCTTTTTTGTGGTTCTGCAATGCTGCAGATTTTGTGACTCTGGGATGTTCGTTGTTGCTGTCCCCTCTGGGCCTCTAGCGGTTCGTGCGTGTGTCTAATTTCCAGATGTCGAAGCAACCTTTCTCCCCTGCCACGTCTTGCTGGTTCTCCTCCTGGTGAAGTCGTGTGTAGGTAGTTTCGCGGGCAGTATGAGTAGATCGTTGCTCTCGTTAATTAGCAATTAGCAGTTGATGTACTACAATGTGTATGTTCCGATCGTCCATCAGGTGTTCGTTCGGATGATTTGGATGGGCGTATGCACGTCGGCGTCTAGCGGGAAGTGTCTCACTGGCTCGTCGGGTGATACGTGGGAGTAGTGTGCGAGTGTGCGAATTAGCGGCGTGGGAGCTTTGCGGTATTCGTGAGTTGCAAGTGGGAGAGCAGATGCATGCGTGTGCGTGTGCGTGTGCGTGTGTTTTATTAAAGGTTGTCGCTGTTGTCGAAGAGTAGGAAATCCAAGGAGTGTTTGGTGGTGGACGCCCGGCGTTCTCGATGCGATGGACAACTCAGTTGTGTGTGGGAAAGGGTGGAATTGGACGAAAATGAGTGAGCGATGGGGCTGGTGGCAGAAGGAGCGGAGGAGGCAGATGGCAGACGGCAGAGAGCGTTGTGAGAGCGGGAGCTCGAAATTAGTATTAGAATCGGCAGGAAGGAGCGTCGTGAACAAGTCCAGTGCGAATGCGGATCGAGGAAGCAGGAAGGAGGGGTGTGAAAGCAACGGCTTCCTCGCCTGGTGTCTTGTTTCTGGTGTGTGGTGTGTGGTTTTTGCCTCAAAAGGTTAGGTCTGGCCCAATCCAGACAGTCGGATAGACAAATGGGAGAAGGAAAGTTGCAGTCGATTCGGGGACTGGACGGGACAAGAAGAAGATGGGACAGAAGCTAAAAAAGGGCAAAGGTAAAAATGGAAGTCAGATCAGAAAGAAAGAGGAAGTTTGGTCATGGATCGTCGTCTACCTTACCTGACTGACTACATGTTTTTCCCACTCACACCTCCTTCCTGCTCCTCTTCTTCCTTTGCTCTTTCTGTCGTCTTCTCTGCCTTCTGCGGGGAGAGAGAGAAACAGACCCGGCAAAGCAAGGTACCTCAGGTATCTCGTCGGCCACCGCAACTTTACTTTACTTTACCTTACCTTGCCATCTGGCATCATCCAGTACCTGGTATCCAGGTTGCGTGCTCCAGATACCCGTCTGTACGAACGGGTATGGATGTGGATATGGATGCCTCATCCCATCACTTTCAACCTGCAGCTACAAGACCTGAACAGCTCGGACCTCTTCTCAAGTCCCTCCGGTACCTCTACCCGTACACTGGTATCCCACTCTACTGGAAACCTCAACTGGCCTGTGGATAATGCTGCGTACCTTGAGTACTTACAAATACGTATTTGTTCGTCCGTTCCCATTTGATCATGTCCCTTCTGTTCTCGCCGACTGGGTGACGATATTCCTCGGGGGCCTGCCATTTACGACAGATTCTTGCGGAAAGAGTGAACAGCTTAGACCGGAACCTCCCGTTTGACGATACATCTATTCGCACCTCACTTACAGTCACACCACTTCGAGATGCAAAGCAAAGCGTGTTTCGTACTTCGATCCAGCATAGCAGATACTACCGCTCATTTGTAACTCTGTTCAACCTCGTCTCAAACTTTCTGCTTCTAGATGCTACGGATACTACCCTCTCGAAGACCTGGCATACAGCAAGTACAGCACATTTTACGGATACCTCGTCACAATTCCACGCCTGCCCCGGTTCCTGAGTCCTGAGTCCTGACTGATGCCCATGTGCTTCAGGCTTCAGCCGTGATCCTCGCCTGACGACCCCGGCCACCAAAAGCGACATACATATCAACCGCATCCACAATGCACCACTTCAACGCGGCAGACAACCATCCAGAAGCCGCCAGCAGATGGGTTTCGTGGATCCCTATGGCGGGCCGTATGCGCTCCCGCCACCTCTCCGGTAAACCTGTCCCTCTGATTTCGTTGCCGAGCAGTGAAATGGGTCGAGGCACCAATCATCAACACACCGCCCTCTTCCCTCACTCCGCTTAACCTCGACATCCACCAGCCATAGATTTTGTTTATAGACCCATGGACAGGCACTGTCAGGAGTACGGAATACTGGCACCATATTTCTACTTCACGGCGTACTCCGTACGTATGATCCAGATCTTCAGCCGCGACTGCTTCGACTGCTTCTCATCATCTCTAAAGATATCGTATGCTCGAAACCTGGGTTCTCCCTCTCTCTCCCTCTCACAGGTACGGATACCAGACAGACCAAAGGCCCCGAGTCCCGCCGTTGAGAAGACAAAAAGGCCAAGACCATTTTGGTGGAGATGCCGCAGGGAAGTCCAGCACCTTAATCAGGACAAATGAGCTGTGAGGACAGGGATTTGCGGCTCTCGGGCAACAAGCCTCCAGGGGTCTTTGATGTCACTCACAGCTCGACCGTTCGAGGTGGCTGGTTGGCCCAGCTGAAATAGGGGATGGCTCCTCGACCGGTTCCAAGCCAGCCTCTAGCTTCGGTCAAACCATCGCTGACGGTCGTCTTAGCGTTTCTCAACTTCAGCTGCAAACCAAGCCAAAGAGGTCACGGGCTTTGGACTCGTGCCTGTCTCAAACATGGAACATCGATGCTGCAGCGCTGCTACTCTGTCCCTACTGCTCCAAGATTCCGAGTCGCAGAATCTGGATCCTGTCGACTGCGTACCAATCTTTGTATAAGAGCAGGAAAAAAACACTCGCAATAGAGAGCTGAGTATAACGCTGGCAGAATTTGCAAACCCTTCTCAACGGCCGGCAAGATAGGGGGATCAGGTGATAGGTAATTTGTGCCAAATTCGATCGAAAGAACATAGGCATTCCGAGGCATGAGGCGGCACTCCACTCGTTTATGGCTAGGTATACGAAGATTAGTCACATCGGGCTCGTCTCTTGAGATGATCTACCCGTATGAACAGACAACAGACGAAACCTCGCAGCCAAATCTTTTGGATTCACACTCGGACTCGTGGGGGCACGACGGCCGCAAATGCAGACGTCTGATTGACAGCTGCCTGCCAAAGGGTGCCTCTGTCATTTTGCGCTCAGTGCTCCCCAACTAATTTCTGTTTCCTCCAAGCTAGTCGGCACCAATGCAACATGGGACGAGGCTCGAGCTCCTCTCCTCGCAATCCACCTGCGACGGCGCCGACCTGTCACTTTGCAGTTTTCCACTTCCTCGAGATCCGAGTCCTCGACTCCTCGCCACGGCAGAGAAATGACATTACGGAATGCAGACCCCCGGATATGCAGTCACAAGGGGTCTGCAGGTCATCACCAGTGACTTGACTCCCAACATGCAGGAGGAGCGAAACACCCGCCACTGTGTTATCCGCGCCAACGCGCAGCCAGTTTTATTCTTTGTGCTACCACTCGAGTGCTTGCAGCCTCTCCGACGGCCTTTCTTCTGGACTAATTGTTGCTGCTGGGGAGGTGTCCAAATGGCATAGTTGGCTTCCACGCAAAGCAAACATGGATTCAACCTGGGTGATATTTGCTGTCCCTATGAGATGGAGACGCTAGCGATGCCGATCACCGTCAAACCGGGGCTCGACGACCAGGATACTAGAATGAGACTTCGATGAGGTGCAGAATTGCCAGCCACGCAAAGCTCAAGCAGGAAACGCAATACCGCTCGCCCGTTCGTATATCTGAACTGGATACGAATACAGCTGGGGCGATCAACTAATTTCCTAGGTTCCAGAACTTAGAAGTACTGAGTCGTGTGAAAGATCGGCTGCAATATCACATTCTAGAGAAAGTCGGTTTCCTGTGGCTCCAAAGCCACATCGCACTCCGCATCGAGTGTGTCTCAACCTTCCAACCACATCAAACGAGACATGCATTGCATTTCTTCAGTCGTGCGACACTAAACCAAACCATGCTCTCAAACTATTTCTGCTGCCACCCAAGAAGCAGTGATAGAACTTATCAAATGCATCAGCACGCATGTCCCATCACTTCTTCGGCCAAAGATGATTCTACCTTCACCATCGCCGGGGTCCTAAAAGTAGTTTGAGCGGCTACCGCTGTCCGCGGCATTCCACGGTCACAGCGGATACATTGCCTTCTGCCGACCATATTCTGACATCGAAAGGAAGAGCCTTGCCGTAGTGGTGTATTGCCCCTTTACACTGCTTGAAAAGAAAGTTTCCCTTTGCTTGTCATAACACGCAGGGGTGCACTTGATCGTCGCTAATGAGCATCACATATCGACATAGAATCACTTGGGTCGTTTGGCAATCCTCTCCCTTGGATTCGAAACCAGCAGCACAACAAGAACACTATGGGCCCATCAGCCGCGTTCGCAATGGTCCGGTTCTTCCTCCTCTCGTACGGATACGAGCAGGGATACTTGCAGCCGCACGGTCTTCCCGCCTGATGGTTGCGCGTCAGCAAAATGAGTTGGAAGTCCAATGAAGTCGGGAAGACCTGTGAATAAGCTCACCTAGCGGTCTTTGACGAAGCGGGTGCTTGAACAGGGCGCAGTAATTTTCTATGTATCCAAGTCTGATGGGCGTCAAATTCCAGTAAGCCCTAGTTGAGAATAGACCCCGGAACACTTCGGTAAACGTTCCGGTGAACATAGACAACCTCACATATAGTCGGCAAACATATCCCGAGGAAAGGCAGTCACGGCCGAAGAGTGGCTATGGCCTCATAACGCTAGCCAGCATCCACGGATCTCGAATGCGCGGAACCAAACGAAACATTTATGTGGTCCTCCTATATCTCTTGAGTCGTATGTCTGGAGGCGGGCACTCTGGACGAACCATGGGTTCGATCTCACGGTTGAGAGTTCAACTTGTTTGAGGCTTGCGTGGCCGGGCATCTTCCCCCTTTTCTTGTCAAGCATATCCAAGTATTGGATTATGCGATGCTCTTTGTTGCGTCTATTCCCTACGAAGTAATCGTTATCATTGCGTGATACTCTCGAATGATGGACGTCTCTTGGAGTGCAGTTGACCAACGCATCTTCATATTCTGATACGCGATTTGCTTGCCGTCAAGTCGCCGGCTGAGTCCTTGATTGCTCTCCAATGATGACTGCAACAAAGGGTAAGAAGCCTTGCAACTTGAATCGGATGTCATAAGTCCGAAGGCTAGATTTGAGGAAAGGGTCAAGAGAGAGCCTTATTCTGAGGCTCGATCCGAGATATCATGTCCTCTGAAGCTCGCGGATGGACGGGCGGGTAGGCAGTCATCCCGTCTCCAAAAGTTTATTCGCAGGGCGAAGTTTAATCATGAGAGCCATCGGTTGATCGGACGCATTATCTGACATCCGGCTCTTGTGAGTACTTTCTTGGCTGGTTTGAAGCCCATCTTCGTTGCTCAGTCGTGGTTCTCCTCGATCACCCAGCCACCCTCACCAGCCCTGTATGTCTCTTCTTCCTTGACCTACCTGAAGGGAATGGTATACGGATGTTCCATCCCAACTCTGCATCCCTCCTTTGGATTCCCGAGGCGAGCGTGAATGATGAGGACGTTATCCCCCCTCCATCCTTTCCTATTACTCTGGGACTTTATTCAACATCATGCGTGATTGGGATTTTGTGTTGATGGTGCCGAATATGATGCTCCTCTCAGTAGATTCCCATCTGATATGGGAAGGGCGGTTTTCGTCCGCCAAGGAACTGCCAACATCCATACGATATTTGTTCGCAAGAGAATCGTAAGTACCCATCCGATCTGTGAACTCCTACAAGTTCTGTTGGTCTTGGTACGCTTGGCTCTTCCGGTATCCGAGGTTTCTTGTCCGGGCCAAGCTTTTCGGAGACACGGCGAGCGAAGAAAAACCTCGTGAGAAGAGCATCTAGATCTTGGCTTGTTCTCAGTTCAAGGTTTGTCCGCCTTGAATCTACAGAGCTGAGGAAATCTCCGGAGAGGTGTAGAGCTGATAAGGCTGGTGGGTGGGCTTGCTTACTGGAGGTATCTAAGGGCCCGTGTTGTCCAAGGAGCGGTAGTATTGATGCCGAGGACGGTGGCACTGCTGATTGATCCAAGATAGCCGTTTTTGCGGTGTTTCTGACATTCTGGTGGCGATGGAATTAATTGCGAGCTTAGATGGCCTTGCTAAGAAACCATCCCCCAAATGCCATTGATAACAGGCTTTCCACATCGACCTTTGCAAAGGTCGACTCCGTGGTAGCCCAGGTTTGACTCAAAGGGCGGAAACATACAGGCTTTTGGAGGTCCTTCGGCTGCAGTGTATTGATTCATAGTGAGATTGACGACCGCTAGTGTCGTGATGGTTGAGGATGTTGAATCGAGCGTGTGACTTTCCCTCTCTGGTCACCGCGTTTTGTGGTTTGCTCGTGTTCGTCGAGGTTTTTCGAGGCTCGAGGCGTTTCTGTCGTCCTTTAGGGTGTTTGAGATTGGTATCTCTGAGAAAAAAGATGAAGAATTTGTCGTATGATAGAGCCTTGAGTTCATATCTTATGGGAATAGGGGCGCTTTCCTAGTTCTATACACGTATTGTCTTCTTCTCCATTAGTTCTACCGCTGTTCGGAGTAGCGGTACCTTCTAGTACGTGAGTAGATTCATAGAGAAACTGGGTCATTCGAACTCACCTTGCCGAATGCCAGATATCGGGTCAAGTCACCGTGGAAATCAAGGGGCATATAAAGGTTTTCATAGTATCTCAAGCCGGCAGGGAAAATGTTCTTCCCGTCTCCGACCTGATCTTGTGAGCCTGAAAGTTAGTTCTCAACAGCACTATCGTAACTAGTTTTACTTCCGATTTGTCATAGATCATAATTGCGTTCACACAGAGAACAAAAGAGCCGGATCAAAAGGTAGTCAGGTGTTCCGAGGGTAGTAAAACATGCGTGTCGATCCACATCAGCATCAGAACAGATGTGTGTAGTCTGGGTATCCGATGTGATGCAACGCAGAATTCTTACTCTTCCCGATCTCAGGAGTCTTTTATAGCATTCTCTTTGCCGAGTGAAGAGCCACAGATCAATGACACTGGGGAGGGAGGCAGAGGGAAGGAAGATGCGCATGAAGAGGAAACTTGTAGGAGAGGCAGGTAATCACTGGTCCATATAAGTGCTCAGCTAAGGGGGATAATCGTTTCTTGATAAAAAAAATAACATTCACAATTGCTTTGTGTTACAACCACTGGCAGGTTCCTTTACGGTAAGGACCAGGACGATTGGAACTCAACCTCTGACGGGCAGTTTTCCCAGGCAGACATGGTCAAAATTACTTTTACATCGTCACACCTCGTCAGCCTGGTGTAAGAACTCCCGGCATCTTCCAATTCCGTCGAGTATCGTCTACCGGGCAGTAGTCTCTTGGGATAGATTTTTGTCAACAAGACTTATTTCGAGGGCCAGTTACATCCCTCTTAAAAACGGCGCGAAATCTTTGACAGACTCGAGACTGCCAAATTTTCAAATATTGAGGGAGAACTACAGAAAAAAGACTGTTTTATCCTCAGAATTGATTGTTGCCAAGGGTGTTTGGTTGGAAAGCTTGACTGCCTTCTTGTGATGGAAGACGGATGTTGACGAGACAGGTCTCGGTCATGAATGGTTCTGTATCAGGGCAGTGATCACTCATACTCCTTCTCTATGCTTTAAAACAGACATCTAGTCTCTCTACCGTATGTGCTTTCATCAGAGTTTTCGCTTGAGACAGGCCGTAGAAAGCCTGCAGAGACCAGGTAAAAGTGCTCGTGGCCAGGCTTCTGGTCTCTCCTGCCCTGTGACTTTTATCAACAAAATGCAAAGGGGAAATTCAACAACCTCGTATCCGATCCAGCATTCTCGGACTTCAGGCCACTCCATCGCAAGACTACCTACGCGGGTCAGGGGGAGGGGGGGTTCAACAGTGCTCCAACAGACTGCACGCTCAATGACCTTATGCCTCATAGGCACCTCCCGGAACATTTAGGAGCCACATCAGTATGTGTGTATAGTACAACCGGGGCACACTGCTCCTTCCTCCTTCTATTTTTCTTGTTCAGAATCGACCCACTCTATACTTATATGATCACTCTGAATACTTGAACAGAGGAGAATTAGAACAGATGTTCCAGAGTATCGTGGTTTTGAATATTAATGCTGACCTCAGAGGTCATTTTACTATTGGTACAGACTCCCTCCATTATACGGGCAGAAGGATGCGTATACAGCATAGTACATTAATAGGCAGAAGCAAGGGCCTCTTTTGACCCCCCCCCCCCCAACCCGCATAGGTAGGTTCGGGCTCACAGAGGGTATCAAGGGTAGAGACGTCGTTATGAGGTTTGGGACTTGAATAGCTCCCTGATTGTGATCTAACTTGAACATTGTAGTTGATGAGATCATTGAGGGCTCCCGTAAGACCGCTGAATAGGGCTCTTGTTTGTTGAATAAGGCTGGAGTTTGGTCACTTTGGCAATGATCGTATGACGCAAGCTTTAGCCATTCACCAAAAATCTGGTAAAATGTAACCGAGTTCTGTGCATGACTTCTTAGGAAAGCCACCGGGTCAAGTAACGCTGCTAAAGACTACAAAAGATACCTGGAAAGAGTTCAGAAATGATGTATTATGGCATCAGAAACGGCACGCACTTCGTGGTCAAGTACGTTATGTCTTGCGAATGTGTGCGTAGACGCCTTATCAGCAGCGACCCTCAGCGAATCCCTCCTGCTTCTAGATTAATTTCGGCATAGTTTGAGTTGTGTTTTGACTATAGGCAATGGAATCGTACAATCGTTTGACGGCCTCGCAGCCCCAGAGTTCCAGTCAAGTCCTCGCGAACCACACAAAGCGCAATGAATGATAGACACCTAGCTGATGGGCACGCTCGATCAAGATTTTACGGAGGGATCTGAGATAATTTTGACAGCAGGCAGCTTTTCCAACATTTGTAAACTGACACATCATGATTTATTCCCCTCACGTCCCTAGATATGGCATGTGACGATAGATTGGGCCAAAACTTCTGACGCTGCGTACGGACTTCGCACCCACGTAGTCAAGAATACCTGAGCATCGTGATACAATAGCAAAACATTCACGATTTTGTACGAGGACCGCTGAAAATCTGGCTGTACGCCTTCAGGCGATGCCAGTTTTACACAGGTTCAGCCCCTTATAAGAGCACGTGAGGATTTCATGGTAATGAAGTAGCCATAGATAAGTTACCTACTCAGAGCAGACTCAAAATAAAAGCCAGTCAAGATTCAAAAGCAGGAGAAACGGAGGGAATAAAGCATCATATAGCAGTCGAAACTTCACAATATTCATGCTCAACTGAGCTCGGTGTTCATCATGAAAAGGAAGGTAGTGAGATTCCCATCAGACCTACCGTCTCTAAAATTATAGCCACTAGGTAAGTACCCAGAGACTCGTCATTACCAGAGTACATGTTCATGAGAATTATATATCATCAATACCACCGCCGCCTCCGCCGCCGCCGCCTTAACGTCTAAGCTGCACTTTGCTCCTTTCGACCAGATTTTCACGAACCCTCTCGAACGACCCCGGCCCCTTACGACTCGAGGTCGAAATCGAAGAACACAAAGGGTTCGCCCTATGCGCGCGCTTGAGGTACACAAAGACTGTAAACTTGCTCGAAAGTCTGTAGAAAGATCAATTGCAACCGACCTCACCGGCCGGCTGACAGAAAAAAAGCTTTGGCTAAAAAACCCCCCTCGCACGCAGTCAAAGAGAATACGACAACCAAGCAAGGCAGACAAGGAGACAAAGCCTAGCCGCCGAAACCTCATCGCTTACGGGCAGCTGTAATGAAACTTTGCTTGCTGTTTACCGCCATCGTCTATTTGAAAGTAAGGTATTCATATCCTATCCGCCCTGGTCCTCCATAACGTACCTAGCTCTTTAACCAAAGCAGAACCAAAATGAACACTCAGTCTCATCAAAGGAATGCAATAACTAAACATAAGCGACACGACAAAGACCTCTTCCGCCAGAGAATGATGACATCGAGGACAGCTGCAAAATATCTTCAAACTCATGCATGACCCGACGGCGGCGGGCCAGGCCGGCGCATCCAAACGTAAAAAGCGGGGATACTGGCCGGCGCGCACCACCCGGTGGTCAACCCCCCTCCCCTCCGAGCCCCGCCTCAGCAAGATCGGCGTCGGGGATACGGGGGACAGAGCCACTTGATAGTTCACCTCACCTCACCTCACCTCAGTTTACCTTTTAACATACCACGGCTCTTGAACGAGCTATTACTCTCAAGGACTATAAACATGATTTGACTTGGCTTGCTCCCGGGGGCGTATAAAGTGAACTTGTTCACCAGGTATTAATGGCACCTCGAGGGACAATACTCATTACGGGCAATTCACACGACTCTATGTAGTATCTAGTATGAAGGAATATGATGACCTACGTAACAATTGATGGGACAATATTGATCCAGCCGTTGGATGAGGAGAGAAACTCGACTCGATCCCTCATATACTTAATGAACTCTCCATCCTCATTACCCCCCGATCCATACTGAGTTATCGCCATCCGCCGCTCGCTGGAAGCAAGACTTTCCGCATTCGGTAGGTAAATCGCAACAAAAAGCCTCCTCCAAACACTCTCACCGATACCAAACAGGTCTAACGCAGAGCTGGCGCGGCCGAGGGCGCGGGGGGCGCATGGGCGGGCGTACGGGCGGAGAGCGAAGAATCAGGACTCTTAATCGGACACGGGACTTTCCACACACGCCGTCTACGAAGACTACTACTACAGCACCTACTCTCTTTTCCACTTGTCGCCGCCGTCGCCAGCGGACGGGACATTTCCCACGCACTAGTCGATTCTGAACCAGATTCCGGGGATATGCCAGGCCGTGGCTCGAATTCGTATGGTCTCGACTTCGTTGATCTTGGGAAAAGGACCCTTGATTTCCCGAGTCGCTTGGTGGCGCCCTTTCTCCCTTTCTACCCGAGCTAAGTCGGCTAGCTTCACCCTTCTAACTATCCCTTTTACTTTTCGAGCTCGATCTCACCGGAGCGGGCTCCTGGGGAGAGACCTTGAGAGCTCTGCGAGAGGAGAGAGGAGATTGGGTGGAAGAGGGGCCGCGCGTGGTAAAGCTCAGCTTAAGTGTGGCATATTCCACCACCTTCACCCAGGTTTCTACGTCAGGCAGCAGAGAAAAGTCAGCAGAACCTCCAGAGTATGCCTTGGCCGTCCCGCCTCGTGTGTTGCGCGCAGCGCCGGGCAGAAAGAGGGGTTGTCCGGCCGTGGATCACTCCCTGTAAATGATTGTCGTGATCGGGTTACAGATGTCAACCTTAAAAAAGTCCACATCATACACCATACATACATAGTACACTACACCGGAGCAACACGCAGCAACAAGCACACAAGGCACGGCACTGCCAGACTAAAGTTCTCAAGCAGTGGTGTTACCAGGAGAGTGGTTTGGTGTGGTGGGAAGGTTCAAGTGGACGCATCGACAAAAGTCAGAGGTACCTTGCCTTGCCTTGCCTTGTAGTCTCAGGCAGCAGCGGCGGCGGCGGCAACGGACGAAGGACAACTGCGTCCCAAGAAAAGATTCAATAGTGAGGAGGGCTAGGATCACGCAGTGGAGGGAGCGTCCCGGAAACAACCACCTCACTGCCCGCGCCCGATATCACGCCCCGTCTTGATCAAGTATGTTGGACCTCGCGTTGTATCATTACCCATTGTGCCATGTCTTTCTCGACGGATTCACGAGCAAGGGGAGGCACTGTTACCGAACCGAGTGAGCTTGCGTTACTGTTGTTCTCGGAAACTCACGTGCATAGTCGCTAGGGCGACGTGGTCGTGAACGAAGTGGACGAAAGGTGGACGCTGAAACAGCATGTCGCCGGTTTCGTGTCCGTGCCTGTGCCTGGGGTGGTTGTCTTCAAGGGGGGCTGGGGGCTGGGGCTGGGAGGGGAGAGGGAAGAGGGACCACAGTCATGCTAGCAAACCGCGTGTTTGATCCGCAACTTCAAGTTTGGCGAAAGAGAAATCGTCAAACTTTTTTTTGGGATGGCAGACGACAGACACAGACCAGTGCTTTCAACGGAGCTGAGACGAGGAGGATCCTCGACCAAGAAGAGTAGAGAGCCCTTTTTGAGAGAGGAAGACCGACGAGTAAAACGTCGCCCGGGTGGCTTCAGTGTCGTTTGATGATACGGCCCGTGGTGGGACGATTGGGAATTCGTTGCTGTCAACCTCTGACGCGGTATCTGTTCGAAACCGTAAAGGTGACGAGGCCCAACGCGACCCTCAACGGCAAAGAGCCCAAGGCTGGGACAATGGGACTTGATGGAGAGTGGCGTTGTACGTATCTGAACACTATATCTGTGGTCCAGCGATGGTGATCGGGGAGACGTGGATGAGATAGAGTTGGCTGCAGGGTTGCAAGGAGCCGCAGACAGAGGGCAGACAAGCTGGGATGGCCCGACCAAATTCTGGACTGGAAAAAGAACCGTGAATGCATGAAGTAACAGCGCCATGTTTGCGTGTGCCTTTCAGGGCTGAGCAAGCAGACGCGGCGTGCGTTGTGTTGGTGCAATGCTGCGCGGTCGGTGAGACGAGACGGAGACGGAGGGCGGGAACGATCCCAGCGTCGTCTCCGTCTTGACAATAGCGAGTTCGAGAACTGGAGCACGAGGCTCTGACGAGGCGCGAGTTGCAACGACGTCGACAAAAGAGGACAGCAATGGGCACGTTCGCTACGCATCCAGAACTTGGGAGAGCGGCTCAGGGCTGGCTGGTCAATGCCTATTGCCTGAACGTCCGTCTTGCATTGCTGGGGCGACGGGGCATCAGAATTAGGAGCAATAACACAGTCTTCGGGGCAGGCACCGTCCTAAAACGGCAATGAATTTGAGGCTCGGCTGAGTAGGGCCCCTTTGGCAAATTAAAACGGACTGGGGGGGCCTTCAGAAGTTCAGACTCTCGAGACATGGGTGCGCGTTGTTGGAGAGTTGAAGCAGAGTTCCGGCGTAGATTGATATTAGGGAAGACACCCGAAGACGGTGGAGATGGCAGGTCCAAGGTCGTCGAATGAAGGATCGAGATCGGGCGGAGATATTGTCATGGGCCTTGATATACACTAGGTAGAGATGTGAACGCGAGAGGTTCGCCTGATGGTCCAAGGTCCTTCCCACGGTTCCCACCCGTGACAGCACAGCGTACCGTGACGACGGACGTGGAGGGGACACCGGTTGGAAATGGGGGGCTTGACTTTGAATGCCTTATTGATATTAACCGTTATGCGTTGAAAGGAACGCACGTACTCTGTACGCGCTGGCACAAGCTTTATCTGTACGAAGGATACGCGTCGCCCGGTATCCATGGACCGTACGGGACGAAATGAGGTGACGGTTTATTTCGGGAGCCGGGAGAGCTAAGCCCACCGACCGAAATGGCGGACGGGACGGAGTGGGCGGGAATGGCATAGTTCGATGCGAACTGGATGATGTGCATCGTGCCATCGTCTTCATCGCACACGGTGGGGGAGAGACGGAGACGAGAAGTTTGTCGTGCCCTTTTGCGCCTGGTGTTTCTTCGTGACGCTCAGGATGGCAGTGACATAATTGGGTAGCAATAGCCACTAGGTTCAAACAAGATTTCTTGTTAGATTACTTGGTGCTGCTCGATAAGATTTGGATGTGCGCTGGAAAAAATGTCCCTTATTTTCTGCTCATTCTCATTCTGGGCCGGCGAGCCCTAAGCTGATGAGGCTCATCATTAAACGGGAATTCCGAACGAGGCTTAAACTGGCACTGACTTGAGCATGTATCAACGGCCGGCTGTCCTTTTGCAGATGAGTCCGGGCAGCTAAAACAGCCCCGGATTTACTGGGCAGAAGGGTCACACAGACTGTGACCAGGGGAAGGGGTCTGGGTTAACGACATTTGAGGGTTCTTGTAGGCCCCATTTCCTCTTCAGGTGGAAGATCTGCCGGGGCGCCAGTGGCTCGTTTTGAAACTTGAGAGAGAGCCCTGGAGCAGTAGAAAGAAGCAAGAATGCTCGCCTGTGGCAGGATTGTACATGAGGCGCGCAGAGAGTTGATAGCCTCTGTAGCCTGTACTTAGGTAATGAGTATCGGTGGTACGCCGGAAAGGGTCACCTGCAGAGTCGTAATTTGCGGAAGATAGACGCCTAAAATAGACGCGGGCATGGCGCATGCTGCAGAGGAGAGGAGTGAGTAAGTTGTGAAGAAAGATGATGAAGCAATGTCGCATGCGTACTGCGGTAGGTGAGTTAAGGGAAGAGATGGCAGAATGGGATGTTCCCTGTGGAAAAGCAGGGCATGGGAGTGTTGGCGGGATGAACAGACCGACTTTTCGATATCCCATCCTTGGTTGCCCTTTCCATGCATCCCCCCCCCCTCTGGCGCAGTTGCCGCTCCTTCTTTTTGCCACTATTTTGTTACAAAATACGGATAGGAAACTGGTGATCATTGGATCTTCCCTTCCTGCTTCGCTCCGAGGAAGGGGGCCTGGCTGGGTCTGTGGTGATCAGGGCTCCGTCCCCCGGACTCTCCATTCTAGTGCTTCTGGGCCTGCCTTCCGAAGCCGAGGTGCTCGCCGATGGTTCTTGGTGTTTTCCCAGGTTGTTGGTGATGAAGACTGCACCTCAGAGACGAAGTGGAAGTGGTTGCCAGCTGGCGGTGATTCTCCTTCCCAAGTACTCCGTAACGCAACCGTCAACCTTGCGACCAATCAGAGCTCTGGCGCAGGTTGCCGCTGCCACTTCTTTTTTCGGACTCGCGGGAGTGGATCAAACCCAAGGCGCACGCCCCCTGACGACTCAGGGGGTGTTCAATCCCTGTTCGTTTCAGATTCTGCCAAGACGTCGAGGAAAATAGCTTCAAATTTCACACCAAGGGCCCGACGCTCCCAATCTCCCATGCAGCGCCAGATTGGAAAGCTGCAGGATGTGGGGGCGGCGACTCGCAACAGACTCGTTTCTGCCTCTCTCTCCCTCTTAAAACTCTCGACCGTGGGAACACTGTACACTTACACCCAAGAGAGGCAAGGCAGCACAGTATGAACGAGGCAAAAGCCAACCTGAATCATTTGCTGCAGTGCTCCTTCAGCGGGATGAGCAAGCCACAAAAAACAAAAACAAAAACCATAGGGAAAAGCTCTCATAGTATATCCTATGGCTAAAAGGGTTTGGAGGGAATGCAAGATCGATCGCACACTACTACGCTGTTGTGTCCGTACCTAGTCTCGTGATTTTACTTTGTCGCAGACTCGCAGGTCGTTCCCGCTAACAGTTTTTTTTTACCGAGTTTTATTTTCCTGATCTACGATCGCGAAATTGCGATGAGTTGGTTCAAGTCTGAGAATATTTTAGGGATGAGCTGGCTGGGCGCCCGCGCCGTGTTACGTTGCCGCTTGCCGAATGTCTGCCGCAAACATGACCCTGCTGTGTTGCGAGCGTCCAACCCGTTGTCAAGAAACAAAAAAAAGACGGGGTTACCATCTGGAGTTCATGCGGTGATCCAACAAGGGGAAGGGGGAAAAACAGGAGGCTCTGCTTGTAGTTCAGGACCACGATGTTGTATCAGCATCCGAGCGTTCTTTATTTCTCCGTTTTCCATGTGACCAACGCGTCCAGGCTCTTCAACGTCAACGTCGTTTCTTTCAACTGCTTTGTTGTCGCGATGATGCAAATGATGACGCCGGTGTCCTCCCCCCCTCTTCTCCCCACCATCACCGCCGTTATAGTATGAGACGGGGGGGGGGGGGGCATGGAGGAGGATGGGTGAGTCAATACATGGGACGAAGAGGGACGGTGGATATCCCATCTATCTTGCGAGAGATTGACGAACGGTGAGCGTGGGTAAATAGAGGAACACACATATACGAGCCGCCGGCTATAGTGTTCCTAATTCTGGCAAAAGGAAGAAGAAAAAGAGACAATATCGATCATTATAGCCGTCCCTCCGTCAGGTAGAGGTATCATCCATGGAGGAGCCACGATGGCTCTGCCCTGCCTCGGCATCTCCCATACGAGGACGCGCAGGGATCTGGCTGGCAAGACTGGAGGAGGGATGTCTCTGGTTGTCAAGAACGGGATTTTCGCCCTCACTTGAATGAAAAAGAGCAGTTCAAAGGGAAAAAGGTTTCCTGACAAGACAACCCGACCACCCCCCGTCTGCCCCTGAGTGCCCCCCTTCGGCTTCTCTTTCTCTCTGGTAGGCCTGCCGCCCTGGGAGACTCTGGAATGTTGCCTTTAGGTGTGGCTTGTCAATCTTGTCTCTGGTTCCTAGTATTGCCACGAGGCCAGAGTCGATCGAATTCCCTAGCCGCTTCCAACCTGTCAAGCGATAAACCTTGGGTGCCAGCTGGGAGATTGGCCCTTTTTCTTTCTTTCTCATAATCAGCCTACCGGAAAAGAGAGTATCTTTTCCATGTGACTCGTGATGTCGATCCTCTCTACTCGAGAAAGATGTAGCGAGCCGTTATCCTGTGAGAAGTGTGAATTGGGGTGACTGGCAACCTAATCCCTGGCAAGACGAGGGTCACAGAATGGAGACGAACGTCGAACTATCCCACGGGACTGGCTACGACGCGTCTCCCCCCTCTGCTCGGTCAGCCGCCGACAGATAAAAGCCTGCGCCTACAGAGTGGGTGGGCGGTTCTTTGTACGTGGAACGGAATATCCGTAGTATAGGTCAACTGAGCCCCAAAGTCGGATACCTCCATTTTCGTTCGTCCAAAAGGTCCCTTGATTTAGGAGAGAGAATGGACTCTATGGAGAAGTTGCAAAATTCTAGATCGGGTGTAGCTCTATAGTGGCTCTTACCGACTTAGGTAGGGGGGGGCCATCAACTTCCAACGGATACTGAGCCCTCTGTACCTGTTTCCGACAAATGAAATAAAGGTCTCCATCCTGCCTTGCTTGCCTGGCCGCGCGCAACTGAATACCGCAATTGGGGGTCCGGCGGCGAGACCGAGGGACAAACTCGAGCTGATGAGTGCAAATAGAGAGAGATAATGGACTCGAGGGGGAGGAGGAGGACACACTACAGGCGGCCGCAGCGTTTCGTTGCCGCCGAGGGAAGGAGCCACAAAGAAGGCTGTGTTCAGTTACGGCGTGTTCAGAAGGGCAAAGACAGCGAAAGGACAGCGTGTATCCCGAGCATGTTTTGGCGGCTAAGGCCGGAGCCGCGGGCACCACAAAGGGCGGCGGCGGCTTTTCTTGCTCGAAAAGATGGTGGTTCAAACTGAAACCGGTGGTTGGCTGGTGATGGCCGCATCTAGAAAAGGGCACGAACGGGCAAACGCAGGCTGTGGCCGTGGCATGTCGCGCAAGCCGTCGGTACTCTGTGGGTAGTAACCGCAGACGTACGAAGTATGGTTCAGAAACATCATGTTCTAGACTAGGGCAGTTCAGGTCGGTGGGCTTGGGTTTAATGATCGAAGACCCAGTTGTCGGTAAGGATATTGGCCTGGTTCAACAGATTGGCTACATGTCAATTGTCAAATGAGAAGCACGGCCCGGCGATGATGATGTTCTATAGTGGGCTTGGAATGATGGAATGATCTGCAATCGACATTTGCCAGACTGACTCTCAACGAACCCACGGAAACCCACGATCCCGGCCGAGAGTCGGTCGGAATTTGCCTATACAAATTTGAGTGGAGGGTATTTTGGGTTCTCGTGAGGAATGTGCTATGTGGACTGGAAATGCTGACTGTACAGAGTGCACGAATATCCGGAGAGCCACTTAGGCAAGGAACCCAAGAAGCACAGCACCGCAGGGCACAAGCAGCACCAGAGTCTCGGTATTTCGTTGCAAGGGTGGAGGGGGAGCAAGGCAGGGAAAGACAAGCAAGAAAAAAAAAGCACAGGACGCCAGGAGGCTCTCGCCTCCAGAGATGAGCCAGCCCTCTGCGCCAAAAGTAGTAGCAGGCAATTACTGGGAACAGCCGGGATATGGGTCACCCAGGGCGAGATCTGACAGCCCAGAGACGAGGCCGCCGCCGAGGGCAGGACAGGACGACGGCGGCTGTTCGGTTACAGAGTTCAGACTCTTTTCTTCGGTATCACAGCCTCAGCGAGGCAGAGAGCAGAAAGACGGAAACTTCCATTGGATAGGGCAAGACAAGACAAGGGGCTCGGGAGTTCGCGCTGGCACTCGGGGTTGCTAAGAGGAAATAATAGTGGTGATTGGGCGTTGCGCACCGCAACTTTGCGCCCAGTCCTGGCGGCGTTGAGCTATATTCCTTTTTGACATGCCTGTCATTTTCTTTCTAGTCTTTGGATTACTCCGTACGGTAATAATGACTCCCCGTATTACGGATACAGATGGCTTGAGAGCCCGTGTCTGCGTGTTGTACTAGTGTGTATGATCGCTGTGACCGTTTGTGTGTAAGTGCGTGCGTGTGATGTGTAGACATGCCACTGCATGTCACTGAGAAGCCAGCTTGATAGGTTGATTAGGAGTTCTCAGGTCAGCAATTTCAAACTCATGGCGTTCTCT